ACTCTCCATAGAAAAGCATGCTATGATGCTTTCAAATATTCTCCACCTCTGAATGCATAAATCTTTCAATCTTCCTTTCGTCAATCACCGAAGAACAACCTTCGGAGCTCGCAATTTCCGTAGCCTACTTTCTCGGGACTTCTTGTCAGCTGTCGCTGTGAAATGTAGACATTTTGTTTACGTATTGAGTTCAATTACCGAAACACAGGCTGCATATCTAATGAGGGAACCTGCTCAAGTGGCACTCGTCAGCCTGTTACTGGATTGTTCTCACGTAGTCCGATATTTGGGTCAAATTGCGAATTAGCATAAGTGATGCCTGCCAAAAATCTCCCACGCTCCTTAAGTGTGTTTGCCAATAGGCAAAGATTTAATTCGAACTAAAAATAGCGCCTCGTGCTGCACGAGGACTCTTGAAAATTTCATTAATTTCTCCCCCACTAGGAGGGGCGAATAATTCTTTCTTTCTTGGAGAATGAAATTACAGGCAGAGTGCCATTAAAAAGCGGCAGAACAACGCAGATAACAAGCAGGAAACATGAGCAATAAAAATACACAATAAAAAATGAGAGCAAAAGCGGGGGGCCAAACCATACTGATGTTGATGATGAGATGGCAAAGGTAAACAAGCCTCAAGTAAATATTGACATGGAAGTCAGCAGTCATATAAGTGGGGGACCGAGGCGTATATACTTGCTTTCAAATGAAAATAAAAATTAATGTGATGGGGGCTCTTCTGCTTCCCAACGGAGCCCGGCCACTAAAAGACAGTCAGAAAGTTGACTAAGTAGGCCGCAAGTTCAGATTGTTCGTCAAGTTTGTCCCGCTTGAGAGTCGTCGTCGTCGTTCCTCCTCCAGCTTTTCTCACTCTCATGTGTGGTGGCAGGGCCTCAAAAGAAGATTAATTATTTTGCCACTGTTTGTACATTGCGGTCTGCATGTTGGTGTCCTGTAAGCTTAACTTGGAGGAGTTGCTGGGGCAGTCAAAGAAAAAGGAAGCAAAGAAAGCATATTAATTTTATAATTTATGCTAAAAGAACACAGAATATGGTATTAATAAGCTTTGATTAATTACAAAATAAATAAATATAAATATATTATGTGTCCCATCAAATATTAAATACTTTTCAAGTCTCCCATCTTCTTAGGACTAGGGTATTTCCTATGTCCATCGATTTGTCTTAGTACTGGGGCAACAAGTTGACCGCATCCTTGACTCCCTCCGCCGCCCCAACAATTCAAGCTCGGCGCGTGCAGCAAATTAACACGCCTTGTCTCATAAAGAGTCTCATACCGATGAATAAAACCAGGGAGAGCGAGAGGGAAAGGAAGCAGGACCGGGACGAGGACGCCTGGGAGACCAAACTCCCTGCGTGAAGTTAATGCCGCGTAACCTGCGTTGAAAGGTAGCCCGGACCCGCCTTCGATTCGCTTCCCCATTTGATGCTGGCCAAGAAATCCTTGCGTGAAATCCTTGCCTTACCTTGAGGGGCCCATAAAACTGGGGAAACTTGAGATGCCACTGCCAGAAATGAAAGTAAAAATTATTTCCGTTTATTATTAATAAGCAAAAAGGCTCGCGAGCGAGCACACATATATCCTTATGTAGATGAAACTTAAACCGAACAAAGAAGAGTGGCTGAAGCTCCTACAGAAATAGCAAAAAACACGCTAAAAATATTCACCCCAAGAAGGAGACTTAATTAAATGCTTAAAAATAGCTATTCATGGTCGGAAGAGACAGCTGCTGGGGGAGAGTGCCATAATATTAAAGGCAGAGGCAGCCGAGAATACCATAAGGAGCAGGAGCAAAACTAGTCCTGGCTTGCTGTCAAAATGATTACGTGACTGCGGTTGGCTGCTGGGAATGCTCACTTTATTGTTACGAGTATTTGCAATTTGAACTGAAATGGGAATGTGAATGAAAATGAAAATGGAAATGAAAGGAAGCGGCATAGAGAATGGCAGCAGTCAACAGCCAAGAGCCACACAGCCAACGGTTCGTATGAGCAACAATCACAGCTGTAAAAATCACGCATACGCCCCGTCTCCGCCTCCTCACAATTGGTTGCGTATCTTTTTATCTCACTTTAATGCCCCCACATTTGTTGACTGTCAACGGGAATTAGGTCAAAGGATATTTTTAGCCCAGAGAGACACTAGTAGTGTGTGCGGGCCAATTTCTGGCTATCCGAGATGTGTTGCGAAAATATTTAGATTCCGACATTTTTCATCAGCTTTTCGGTCACGTCACTGGGCACCGCACGGCATGTACATATATACTATACATGCGTGTGATTGAGTGTGCGGTGTTTGTGGTGTTCGCCGCATGTAATTTGTTGTCGGGCCAACAACAAATCAGCAGGAACATCGAGTGCGTGACTGTTGCGGCCATTTAGCGGCTGGAACATCGATTGCCCATTAAATTGGAGGGAAAAGCAACACTCTCCTGCGGTTTTCCGCCCAGATTTTGCTTAATATCAGCACTAATATCGTTAATTGTTTGCTCAATTTGATTTGCCAAACAGATGGATTTTTATGATAATTGTTTGCATTTCAATTTGGCAGCAGCAGCAGCAGCTTCCCTGTGGGAACTCGCCGCCATTAATTTGAAATCTGTCGCTCAGCCACAAATCAATCAAGGGAAAATTCAAATACAAACCCATTCGATGCGATTCCCTGTCAAATCAAACTGTCAGGGTACCGATACTCGAGCGGGGGTGTTTTTATTGCGGCCGGGGGCCGGGTTATTCGATATTTATTGTCTGCCAATTCAGCCGGAATCGTATTAATCAAATGCCGTCAGACATCCTCGGGCTCATTATAAATTCAACGTGAATCCCCCACAGGAGATATCCCAGCCCTGACAACCGACAGCCGAATAGTAACGGAGCAACAGAGATATTCTGGCTGCTGGCAATTCAATTCAATCGCTGACCTACTTTCCTGGACACAACACAACACAATATTCGGTGGCGACGGGTTGAGGATTCCTTGGATTGGATTATAGCCATCGAAGGAGCCATTATAGGAGCTTCACCCGTGCGTTATGGATTTTTTCCGCCTGTTCCTTTTTCCAGACTCCGTTCAATTGGTCCGCCTAATTGCAGTTTCCTCATAATCATCATCATAATATGTGTATCTGTCATTGATTTGTGGCTATTTTTGGCAACTTTTTTATGGGAAAAACTTTTGTATTGGTGTCACCAGAAGATGAAGATAAAGCGGCCATAAAGTAGGTAGAATATGGATGGTGTAAGTGGATACTATAAATGCCAAAGTTTATATGGAAATTATGATATTATTACCCTAGAAAGACTGAAGCTGAACCTAGAATTTGATTGCTTTTGAAAGTAAATAAGGGAAACACAGTTTTTGGTGTAAATTATTTCACTTTTATTGAACTCTCTTGCTTTGTGGCGATTGGCCGTTCAGATGATTACAATTCTTGCTGCTCTGCTGCTGCTGCTGCTTAGGTAAATAGTTAATAATAATTAGATGCCGCTGTGTATATTAATGCTGATATTGTTCTGTATATCCTTCAACTTTATTGCTTTGGCTTACGAATAATGCGTTCGCATTCATATATATATATAGTATATAGTTAGGCCTTGGTTTGTATGCTATTTAATATCGTTCTCTATAAACTGTAAATGTGTATAACGGCTAAAGTAATGTATATGTTGAATACTTTTAAGTCAGTTGCTGCTCTGCTTTGGCTATATAATTCTACATCTGAACTCTACTTGCTGGAGGAGTGCTGGGCTTATTCATTTTTGTAATTATTTTTTGGCAAATTATGGTTAGTTGAATAAAAAGTCCTAAAGTAAATAATTCAAGTATCTCAAGTGTGGTTTTTTTTTTTGTAGCTGGTTTGTTAGGATTTTGCGGAACGTAGATAAATGCCGGACAAATTTTGATCCCATGTAATATTTATAAAGGAAATGTACTTAAACTTATCATATATATATATGTACTTTTAAAGTTTCTCTCTTGTGTTTTTTGGAACAAATGTTTGTTTTGCGTGAATCCTTCTTTTGCTTCTTTGACTTTTCTGATAAAGGCACGAATTGTATAAGAATTTATACAAAAGGAAATCTATTGTGACTTTTCCAATCCAATTCCAATTCAATCAAACTATTCCATTTACTTCTCGATTTGAATGCGTTTACAGTCTTTGGTATGCGTGGAATGATCTTGATCTAGCATCAAAGCGGTGACGAATGTGTGTGTATATAGTAGACTTTATATATCTGACAAATTCTACGCATCTACGATCTAATTTTCATATAATTTGTAAGTGCAAAAGTTATTCAAATTTTATAAAATGTTATCAATTAAGTTTTTGTTAGATTTTTACCAATTTGCCGATGTTTTCTTGCTTAAAGACTTTCGGATATGATGGATTTTTGGGAAGGGGGAGGGTTTTAGGGTTTCTTTTTATTTTTTTTTTTTTATGTAGGGGTAAGGGTAGGGGAGGATTGTTGTATCACAGATTTTGAAATGAAGTTCAGGGATCAGGGGTAGGGGGAAAATCAAGTGAAAGATGATGTGTTCGATTGCATGATAATGGTTAATTTGCCTGCACTGAGAACAAGTACATTTTCTTAGGGTTTCTAATCTTAGGAGTGTAAGTTAAATATTAAAATTGTGGAATAAAATTGTAATTAAATCTATAAATATCTATTTTATGAAATTTAAAAAATAAATATCCTAAACTAAAGAATTATTTTCCATTTTAAAAATTAAGCTTTAAAATATGAGTATTTTTAAAGTTAATTATGAGATCGATTTATACCTTTAAGTAACTAAAATAATATTTCTTAAATTAAATTTATATTTTAATTTATAAATTAAACTCAAGTCTAAATTAATATTGGATCCTAAAATCTGCTTGGATGATTAATCATTGACTGCCGCTGCTATGCTTACTCTTCCCCTATTTCTCAGTGTCTCGTCCTGGCCACTCATGCTGATTTGCGATATATATAAGGAGCTCCTTAGCGCCGGGCATATTGACAACAGACGGAACTGCGCGGCACCCTCTGCGTCGGCAGACCGGACATGCCTTTGAGATATGTGTAGGAGACGGGCTGACGGAGTATCCTCTGCGGCGGCGGCTTCACCTTGCCTTTGGACGCCGAACTGGAGGTTGATGACGACGACGATGACGACCTGCCCGCTGGCTGGAGATGGTGGTGCATGTGCTGCTGTTGTTGCTGCTGCTGCTGCTGCCTGTGCAGCTCTACGTTGGAGGCGGACTTGAGAGCCGACTTCAGGGGCAATGCGGCTGCAGGAGGCGTTGATGAAGGCGCCGGGGGTGGCGGCGGAGATGGACCGCTGCAGGAGAGCGAACGCGAGGTCAGCGAAAGGCTCTCGAAGGCGCGACGCAGCGAGGATGTAGAGCGCCGGTGCAGACGCGAAAAACTCGCCCGGCTCGTCGGCTTCCTCTTGGACTGCAGTTGCTTCTGCTGCTGTTGTTGCTGCTGTTGCAACTGCTCCTGCTGCTCCTCGATGTCCAGCGTGCTGCTCGTCTCGCTGGAGGCACACGACATGGACATGAGCTCCAGTCGCCCGGTCGACTGGTGAGCGTTGAGGCCACGCCCCGAGGAGCACGAGTCGGTCGATGAACTGTGCGCGTCCTCCTCCTGGAGAGCGGCTACCGCTCCGCCGCTCCTCGATGGTGCAACGTGAGCTGCGTCATCCGACTGAACTAGGTCATCCTGTGACCTCAGGCCGAAGCGGCGGCTCAGCTGCCGAAAGAAGCCCAGATTGCGTTCGTACCGGGGTGTGGGCGAGACGCTCAGGCTGCCGCCCGGCGAGGGGGTGGCTATATAACCCACTTCCGGCTTGCTGCCGCTGGTCACCAGACTCTGGCTACTATGATGGTTGTTGTTCAGGCTGCCATTGCTGGCGGTCTTGTGTTCTTCTTGCTGCTGCTGCTGGTGTTGTTGCTGCTGCTGCTGCGGCGGCGGCAACTCATCGGCGAAGCAGACATGAGGAGTGCCCATTGTTGGTGCTGTCTGGCCAGCAGGGCGTATGAGTGATTTCCCTATTAGCAGCGGCTGCCAGCCGTGCGTATGCGTAATTTCCTGGCACCAAGTGCACCCGGTGCGTATGAGCTTCCGCTGCCAGCCGTGCGTATGCGTGGTGGCCTCCCGCGCCGATTATAAGTGCACGCAGTGCGTATGAGTAATTTCCTTGTTTGTCGAGCAAACTGCCAATGGCTGCACTTCCGCCACTCTTCCGCTTCCGGCCGAATACTCGCCGCTCGGCACTTCCTTTGTTATTGTAACCGGTGTCTTTGTCCACTGTTTACCTTTGCCTTCTCCACAGAGAAAGAGAGAGGAGGCGAGAGAAATAGAGAGAGAGAGCGCGAATAGCGAACCGACTGGGCACGTTGTCCTGCCGCTTGTGAGTCGGCAAATCGGAAGCCGCTGGCTTTTATAGCCTCGCCCGGCACTCTGCAAAGCATGTCCTTCGAGAGAGAGAGCGGCAAATTAAGAGAGAGAGCCTGCGAAAGAGCGGGCCAACCTGCAAAGGATAAAGCCTCCTCTCACTCCTCGCGTTGTCGGCGCCCAGAGCCTTTGTTCCTGGCATTGTTGCCTAATAATAAAACGGGAAGCGAATTTTGTTTACCGTCGTCGGTCTCGGTTTGTTTTGTTTTTTGTTTTTTGTTTTCTGTATTTTCTGTTTGCATTGCGACCGCAGCTTGCGCCGCTGGCCGCCAGGTGGAGTCAATGCACCTAGTTTGGGGCTCGGACTTCTAGCAACTTCGCGTTGGTTATACCTTGGCTTCTATGGGGTACATTAGGTTCTGGATATTATAACGTAAAGTGGTATATCGGGGTCTTGAATAATCAACATTTTTGCAAAAAAATATATTAATAAAATGCTCATAATTTGCAGAAAAAGGAATTAGTTAATTTCAAGCTCTATTATGCCTTTTTCTTTACTAAATAGCTTTAAATTATTACTTAATCATAAGATTTTAAACTATATTTATTTAAAAATTACGATTTCTAGATAAGTTCCTTTAATTTATATTATTTTAAAATATCTATTGGTTATAGAATAAAAGATTTTCCTGTCCTAAAATATATTTTCAGACTATAAGTCTCATTTCTTCTTACCCTTACTACTTATATTATTGGTTATTTCTTCATCTTTAAATAAATTAAAAATAAAATAGAATTAAAATCCCACCCAGGGTACCTCTTATTCGACTCAATACCCTGCCTTTGGCATTCCCAATTGCCTTTCTTCGCCCCTTTAATTGTTTTCTTTGCGACTCTTCCCCACAGAGCCATCAATTATTAATCAGCTAGACGTTTTCATTTCACTTTGTTTCGTTTGACTTTCTCCGGTTGATTCAATTTGTTTTTGGTCGAAAATAGCTTGGCGATGAGGGGTGCTTATTTTTGAGAGTCCTGTGCGCCAGTGATTTACCTAAAAATATCCTTGGCTATGACAGTTTTCAAGGGCCTCTAAGAGCAAGCGGCACTTAAGGAGCCAAGAGGCTTCTGGGCACGAGTTGCCCGAGCAAGATTTTATCATAATTTCACCTCACTTTAGTCGAGGGTCGAAAATAGACATAAAATAGAGCCTTATCACACGGCCTCTTGCCTCCTGCCTCCTTTCTCCCTCCTCAGCTGCTGTTCGCTTTTATTTAATTGCGCCCAAAATTGATTTTAATGCGCTATAAATAAAGCCGAATGCCAATTTTATGTGAACGCATTCTAAGACAAGCTAAGACGGCGGCGGCTTAATGAAGTCCTTTGTCTTGACTCTGCCAGCGAATGAAAAATATCAAGATAAGGGGAGGGACCAGGGCAGGAGCAGGGGCCGTATTAAAAGCTAGAAATCAGAAGGTGTCGACATTCTCCCGGAAAAAATCGCTGTCATCTAATTAGAGGCGCAATTGTTGACGCCGACTGACGTCAGAGCGGACAACATCGCCGTTGTTTTGGCCGAAATGACACAACTCGGAATCCAATTTGGCCAGGGAGGGGATGGGGACTCTTTTGTCGCCGACTTGTTAAGCGCTTGTCGCATCCATTTAGCGGCGCATTAACTCATTTCGACTTAATCAAGTTAGCCAACAGATTAATGAATAATCTCAACAGTTGTCCTGCCGTCCGTCCGGTCATTGACCCCTGAAATTTTTAAATCAACTTTGCGGGTCTATTTTTGTTTTGGTCAACTCTTAATTGGGCTGTAAATAAACAATTAGTGAATCTATTTGTAGGTTGTCTCTGATAATTATAAAGTTTTTTGCTAAGTATAATATTTCAAAGGAAAATTGATGCTGGCTGAGAGGGTTTTATTTCTTTGCAACTTGTATTTTAGCCCTTATTATTCTTTGAAGATATAAAATATGTATCGTCAAGCAACTTAAATAAATTAAATCAGAGAATTTCAGTGAAATTAGGGAAAGTCGGGAGACTTAGCAGTTTTTACTTCATGTTTTAAAATTTTGTAAATAATGGTTAGATTTTGAAGTAGGTGCAAGTACAGTATATTAAGTAAGTAAAGTAAGAATTAGTTTGGTTATAAATTTTGTTGATTCCGATCTAGCTTTTTAGGTTTGGAAATGGAATACCTAATAATAATTATGCAAGGGGATGAGATTTAAAAATTAATTTATTTTGCTACAAAGAAAATACTACTACAAGGTTTTTATTTAACTCTAAATGTTCTAGTTTACATTACATTTAATTATATTTATTTTTTAAATAAACCAGTCTTTCTGAAAATAAAAGGGATCTCTTTGAAATAAATGGTTTTTCCATTGATTTAATCACGTATTCGTCCACGTGGCTTGTTAAATGCCTTAAGCATACAATTTTCCTGATATTTAAATTTAATTAAATATTCATTTAGGGTCCCTGTATATTTCACATTAAGAGAGCTTCCTAGAACGAATGCATGCGTTGCTTGCCCGCGAGTCTTTCTGGAAATCGCCAGAGACAAAAACCACAGCATTTCTGATTCCTGGGAGACAATAAATTGAAACGCAGTTCTTCGGCCAAAACAAAACATAAGAAATTCTTTTGTAACTGCGCCATAGAACTATTCGAAAAAAGATTGTGTCTCTGTTTATCTACAGAAATTCGGGTTAAAGGCTTTTGTTTGTTTACAGATAAATCATGCATTTTAATTTGATTTTCTTAGGACAGGAAGCTGGGCCCCAAGTGTGCCAAGGATGTGATATCCCTTGGCCAATGGGCTCGTTTATTATGATTGTAAACAACCGACAGAAAAAAAGGGGTTCAAAGAGACAATGACCTCGAGAAGTGATGAGTCCTTCGGCGTCTTCCATTTGGCGAGCCCTAATAGTTGAGGTGTCATCAAATTTTAAACGCTGCCGCTTGTCACGCCCTCCGAGTGCAGCAGCCAGAGCGGTGTCGATTAACGTCACACGGATATGATATGTCAGAACTGTAAGGTCGAGTCCTTCGGCGCCTTGATTTTGAGGACTTTGCCTACATCATCGGATGCGGCAGCGTCTCTGGCACAGTGGCACATTTCGGGCGGCTGTTCCCAGGGAACAGTGCCGCAGACTGTTACCCAAACAAACGGAGGCCACGTGCAGGACGCACTGAGAGAGGGTCCTGCGCGCTCTCTCGGCAGCAGGAGCGAAGCTTTTGCCTACGTTAACGGTGTCCTTAAGCTTTCGGGAAACCGTTACGGATTGAAGCTGCGCTGCCTTGGCCAATGAAACGAAGTTCATTCGCTTTTGTTTTCCCTTTACCTTGGCGAAGAAAATGAATGCAATTTGGTTTTTCTTTTGTATTTTCTTTTAGTCATGTATATTTTATTTTATTGACAGCTAGACTTAAGTGTTAGGTTATCTCTGTTCAGTTAGGATCTAAAAATATATAGGCTCTAAACATTTTCGCTACCATTTATTATCATCTACCATCCAATATACATTTCGTCGTGATATCTCCGCCATTATTCGTAATAATTTTGCTTTAAAAAAGTTCGGTTTTCGGTTTCCTTGGAATGTGAATTATTGTAAAATGTTCATTTGTTAGTGTTTGCTCTTAAGGTTCTTAAAGAATTTCATTCGTTTTCAGTTTACTTTTCTTTGGTTGTATAAATTCGTCATTGTTTTTGGTTTTTGTTGTTCTAAGTTATCGAAATAAGTGCAAAGTATAGTTGAAACTAGTTGAAAAGTGCAAAATTCTTCGGTTTCGAAACGAATATTTAAACTAGTTCAAAAAGTGCAAAGTATTGTGTTATTCGTCTCAACTTAAGGTCACTGAATTCGTATTTTTAAGAATTACTCTTCAAAGATATGTGTGAGGGCTACTAAATAACATTTCGATTTACTTGCAAGCTAATTTAATTAATCTCCGTTTGTAAACTGAAAGTCCCTAGATTAGCCAAAGACAATTAGATCATCTAAGGTTTATATCGTAGCACAAATATATGTGTGGATATATAGGTTTTTGATTTATCGGGGCGTAGACTTAGGTTCACTTATTGGGCCCAGTTCGCTGGATTTTCTTTTTTCTTTTTCTCTTTTTTTTTGCGAACTCAGCTGTGACACACATTTATAAAATGTGCTCCTTCGCTGCTACTATCCACTCCTTCCCCAACTATATCTTTTTCAGGCACTACTCGTACATCACTAATAATTCCTATGTATATTTTCCAAGACCCCCAACCAGCTTGCAGCTTTCTCTTGTTTTTTCCCTATGTTTTTTTACTAGTTTTTCCTAGTTTTTCCCCGAATTTTGACGCCTTGTTTCCTAGTACATGTGTTGCAGGGTGTACGGGTAGCAGACCGCGTAGCTGGGCACTCGGGAGTAGAGCCCTGACATGCCCTTCAGGGACACGTACTGCACTGGCGGTCGCAGGATGCTCTGCTGCTTCTTCTCCTTCTTGGACGCAGGACCGCCGCCGGAAGAGGACTTGGAGCTGGAGCCGGAGCGACTGCTGCTGCTGCTGCTGTTGGAGTTGTTCGGCGACAGGGACTTCTTGGGCTGCCGGAGCGGAGTGCTGCTGCATGACAGGGACCGCATCGAGGCGTGGTTGGCCGTGGGACTGGAGAAGTGCTGGAGCATTCGGCTCACCGAGGAGGAGATGGAGATCCGGCTGAGATGCAGGCCGGACGATTTGGCTGAGGCGGAGGCTGCCGACGCTGACCGGGGCTTACTGTTTTCGTTCTCATCGGTGCCCAGTTCCACCTCGTCCTCTGCCTCATTGCCGCTGCCCTCGCCCTCGCCCTCGCTGCTATCCTCCTCGAAATGCAGCTGGGGATGCATTTGCTCCATGGCGCTGCCGGGCCTATACACAGCCTCAACGTAGATGTGAGCCTGCTGATCGTAGTAGTCCAAGCCCGGTGAGTACCTGGAGCAGGCCGAGGCACTGGAGGTCCTGGAAGTGTGTTCCAAGTCCAGCGAGGACCCATTGATGGGGCACTCGTGGCTGCCGCGCTCATAGCTCAGGCTGAAGGAGTCCGTGGAGCTGCTCCTAATATCGTCCTGGCTGCTGTAAACCGTTTCGTTCTGATGCTGATGGTGAAAATGCTTGCCCAGATGCTTGCTGAGCAACTGCAGCAGGCTCCTGGAGCGGGAGAGCTTCTTGGGGCCGCATCGCGGGTGGCGATGCAGCTGCTCCTTTTGCTGCTGCTTGCCTAGATCCATGGAGGAGCTGGCCGCGGAACTGCCGCTGGAGCTCGACTTGGAGCAGTTATTCGGAGATAGGGTATCCATGGCAAAAGTTTTTATATTTCTTGGTTCACTTTTGTGGCACTTGGCACTTGGTTTTTGGTTTTTTCAAAATCAGTTCGAGTTCTTTTAAATTGGTTTTTCAGGACTTTTCAGAGGAACTTTTTCCAGGCCAACGCGACACTTTCAAGTCTCGATGAAGACTACCAGTGGCAGGCGAATGGCACTCGCTTTTATACTGCTCCTCAATGTCGTGGCAGCATCGCATCCTAACCTTCGCACCCGACGAGGACACGCGAGCCCGACTCGGGTATCCGAAACGACTCGATTGCCATACTGACACACACCCAGCGGAAACCAGTGCCCTGTGCGCCGTTGAGAAGGACACACCGCACATCAAACGACAAGCTACACACACACACCACGGGCCACGAACGGGACAAGCCGGAGTCCTGAGAACCTGTTGCTCGCGCCTTTGCCTGGGTCTGGGGTTTTCCACTCAACGTGACTGCTGATGCTTCCCCTTTGGGACAAAGGAGCCAGCCAACGGCGTACGGCTAACAACACTTTGGGCGTCGCTAGTTGCACTTTTGAGTTTTTAGCATTGTTGTACGTGATTGGGAACGTGATCCGTGCACGTCATTCACCTGGGCTCCCCAAGTTCCTGCCGAACACTATGCGAAAGTAGTAGGTGAGTTCCTTGGAGAGGAAAGGCTGAGAAAACAAGACGGAAGTCACGGATTAAAGGTAGCAAATCTCTAGATTGGGGATAGGGAATAACATTTATTTAATGGCACTTTGCATATTATTATTATATTTTAGAGAAGGGTTGGCACTTTATTCATTTAAACAATATGAAACAATTCGTTTATTTTAGCATTCATTTAAGACTCTAACAATTTTAGGAAATTCTTTCGGACACCTTTTAAATATGTATAATTAAAATCTACATACATTTTTGTGACTGCCATATGCTTTTAAAACACTAAGTTAAGCATTATTTAAAATTTGACATTTACAATAATTTTCTGTTAATGTTAAATAATAAAAAAAACAGACAAATAATATATTTAAATATATATTTTAAGGTTACTTGAAAGAGCATTTAAATTTAAAATCTCTATACTTTTTATCGCTCAGTGTAAAATACCCAACACCATCACGTGAAGAACTTGCAAGCAAAACTTTAAGGACGACGCGTTCTCCCAAGAAATCGCAAAAACTGCCACATGACCAACGTGCAAAGTTCGCATGACGAACTTATTCGCATGTGTCCAGCCAGTGAGCTGATACAACGACCAGCGGGGCTCCTTTAATCCTTGACACCCGAGGTGGCTGCAATTATGCGCTTATCGCAGGCACATATCCCTCGCTGGCCAAGGAAGATTCAGATGCACGTTTTATCAACGCATTTCGGTTATGCAGCGCATCCCGAAGATACTTACAACTGCTAAAAATAACTGAGACACCGCCGCGGACATTAACATAATCGCGAAATGGAAAGGTTGAGGCTTAAAATACTTTTATTGATTCTCTTTCTTTTCGAGTCTTGGATTGCTTCCCTTTTGTTTAAAAGTAAATATTGAATATGGAATAGTGGGCAGTGATTGCTTTACACCTACTCATATTTTATTTACTCATTGCAATAGAGTCTTCATACTACCTTGAGGTAGGAAATCGAGGAGTTCTGGTGACGAAATTCAGTCACTGGGTCACCACCAGATCCTTATACCCCGTACAACAGTCACGTAGCCCACCTCTGTGTGCATGCCCACCTCGACCTTGGCGGAAAATTAAGGCTTTAGAGTGCGTGCCGCAGCAGAAAGTAAAGAGCCTTTTGTATAATTTTCATTTTAGCTTTTATTCAGGATCAGAGCAGGAACGGGGCCAGGGATAGGGCACCGATTCCCACGTCCAGGGCACCGTAGCGATTCCCATCCGCATACGGATACGGATACCTGTAGGGGCCCGGGCTGTTGTGGTAGTTGTGGTAGTAGCCACCGCCCTGGTACGGAGCTCCATAGTAATAGGGTCCTGACGAGGGGCCCAGATACGGCTGCTGATAGCTGATTCCAAAGGAGACCAGTGGCTTGGCCTTGACGCAGCTGGTGGCCACCACCGCCATGAGCACCACTAACTGCAATGGAAGAGCCCGAAAGGGAGGTACTCCTTCAGTGGAGGAAGTGGAAAAGAAAGGTATAGTTTGCCTACCCAAAGATAATTGCGCATTTTCTCGCCAATCTGCAAACTGCGTCGTCGTCGTCGTTCAGTGTCGTTTTCACTTTGAGCTCCTCTTTGCATTCCCAAAGACCTTTTATATCCGATGTTGGGCGTCCGCATCCAGAGCCTGTTTTTACTTTGGGTAAACAACTAGCCGGGGGTCTCTCTCGGTACTGGATGTAGCCCATCCTAGATTCTGTTTATGCTTTGGCAGTGAACACTGAAAGTGTTGGTGTATTTTGGAGGGGAATTATGTCAATTATGTAATTAGTTTGAAGTAAAAGTATCTCTTTGAACCGTATATATATATTTAACTTTAATTGAACTTTATATCAATTTTTACCTCTTTTAAGTTTATAATTATTCTTATTCAAAGATACCAGCTTGAAATTTACACTAAAGGAACTCTTAAAAAAAAGTTATTTGCCTAAATTGATTATTTACTATGTCTTAATTTTAAATTTTCTCTCCGTGTTATGTTAAACTCGTTGTTCGCTTAGATTTGCCTGCCTGCTTGACTGGGATTTCCTTAGCCATTAATTGGACATTGAAAAACCTTGAACTGGCACATGGACCGAATCAGATGCCAATGCAGATTCTGGATTCTGGATGCTGGATGCTTCAGTTGCAGGAACAGGTTTTCCTTTTCGCCAGTTGGGGGAGATGGTTTCTAGTAAACCGATATGGAAGCCACCTTCCCTCGGCATACCGGCTACAGCTAATCAGTGGCATCAGTTGCTGGGCGGGGAGGAGTTACTTCTAATTTGCCTCCCATAATGAACACGAACTCAATCTGGTTTCGTAATCATTAATCTTGGGTATTAATGACCACAAAAGTACGCTGTAATGATCTTAAGATGACGCATTTGGGCGGCGATGATTTTAAGTGAGAATAAAAGATATTTTATAGGTAAAATTTTCTGTAAATATGTATTATTAATCTTTCTTCTACTAGTTAAATTAAATAAATAAATTAAAATTTAAAGAAATAAATTAAAGAAGTTAATTAATTTAAATGAAAGTTAATTACCTGATATATTGATATTTTAAAGGGCATATAATCGCAATAAGTTTAATGATTTGGCCGGCCATAAAGTTAAAATTTTATTTAAATCTATATAGCCTTTAAAACTGTTGAAATGAATTACAAATTAATTAAATAGAATAAATTGAACTATACAAGTAACCTGAATTACTAGAATTCAAAAGCCATAAGCTGTCCACGTTTTTTCACATGAAATTCATGCAATTTGTAATGTAATATTTGTTTGATTTTTGTTCAATGTAAAAGCGGATTAAATTATTTTCCAAGGCCAGAGTGTAATGTCAGTCCCGACTAAGCTGTGGCTGAGCTTTACCTGTTTCACGCCGAGTATCAGATGTTAATTAATCTGAGTGATTCGATTAGCGATTGCTTTCCGTTCTACGCATTTGCGTACGTATGTCCCACAGGACGGATGTGCCATGTGACTAGCCCCGGGGTCACGTTCCAGGACTCTTTCGGGCTCCGCCAGCCACGCAGCAAAGGGCAAAGATTGTGGAAGGAACCCACAAGGAGGTGACAACCACGCCGCCTTTCTCTGCGGTCACATTGCACTCTGAGCTAGATCCTACGGCTTCCCCTTTGCTTCAGTGACGTACGGCACGGGCTCTTGATTTGTTGCCACTCTGCGATTCGGTTAAATTTAGACAGGCCTCCCATAGGTGAGTATGTGAACAGGTAGGTAGTGAGGTGCCCAGGTGAATAACTGGCCACAAGGGCAGGGAACCAAGCCGGGTTATTCGATATCGGCACCCATTGTTGGGGCCTTATATCTGAACAATAGGAGGCCGAGTTCAACAGACAGCAGCTGACCCAGGGAGAAGTAGGGAAGTTGTTTTCACAGACAGCCCCGAACAGCTCACACAATGAGTCGAGTTCGAACTTTATTCAAATTTCACTGGCTTACAATTGCCCCCATAGAAGTTTGTTGCTCTCTAGAATGGATCTAGTAGAGGTACTCGTAGGTCAGGGGCTTGTAGTCGCTGCGATACTGCTGCTGGAAGGAGTTTGGAGTCTCGACGCTGTGATAAACATGCGACTGCTCGGCAGCCGGAGCAATTAGGCGGGAATAGGCCAAGGGCAGCACCGCCGAGGTCCTGGCATAGGTCGTGGGATACCCGTAGTATCCATAGGAAGGCGTGTAGTAGGTGTACACCTCGTGGCCCAGAGCAAGGCCCAGCAAACAGGCTAAGATGAGCTGCAAGAAAGAAATATTTATTTAATTTAACTAACTATTTAAAGCTTGAACTTCTCTCACCAGCTTCATTTTGTTGTAGTTCCAATTCCTTGGCGATCACCAATCCAACTGAATCCCTGCTGTCGAGCGAATGGAGCTTTTATAGCTCCTTGGCTCAGACCTTCACTTTGGTGAAGGCTCTCTGGTGGTGGCCAAGGTCAAAGGCATTTGCCCAGCAGGCGGCGAATGAAAGAAGCCCTTAACTCACTTTGAATGGGCCCAGTTGCAATTGCAACTGCTCTGGGGAACTCGTTCCTGCCACTCAGAACCCAGATGCGAATCGGATTGTCGTGAGTCCGCTGACAAGACACTGAATGTTGCATTACCACAGAATCAGGAATAGAGTTTACCACAAAGAACTCTGGATAGCTGCCTCCTCCCACTGTTGAGCAAAGTTTTAGACACACTATGAGAAAAAATATACTTATGTTCTTTATTAATTTAAGAAAATTAATCAAAATCGCGAAAAACAAAGGTGTCGATTTTTATTAACTGCGAAATACCTGGTAACCAAACGTGTGTGCATAATAATTAAATAAATATTTATAAAATATAAATATCTTCTTTAGTGTAAGAACCCACTGCTTCGGTTCTTCTAAGGCGCAAATGTTCGCATCTCTGCCTTCGGTTTGTTTACTTCCTTTGATTTGGATTCGACCCGGCTCGGGTTGGAGTCTTGCTCTTGGCCCCAAAAATAAACAATTAAGTGCGTCCGGACTTGAGACGCACTTCCGGTATTTCGCTCCTCTTGGTCGAGAGGCTTTCAAGGTCAGGGAGTGTGGGTGGCGGTGTCGATAAAAATTGCCAAGTTTCCTTTTGTCTTCCAGCCAGCGAAAACAAGCGCCCACGCCAAAATCAATTAAGTTTATTGTTTTTGTTCCCATGCATTGAATGTTTTCCTATTTGTTTTGGTGGGTTGTTGATTTGTTTATCGCCGAAAAATTGCGCAGTTCCCGCAATTTTCGGAGCGCTGCGGTGCGTATTTGGCAATATCAAGAGTCGCATTTGCGGTGCAGGTTTTGGGCTCGAGTTTGCCAGTCACTCACCTGAGTGAGTCGCGAAATCTGATCAGTCGGCGTCCGCTTAGATTTCACTGAAAAATCTTCTAAGGTTTTGGGTATCGCATCAAGGTCTGTGCAGCCGGCGATTGCTGCGGCTTCTTGGCCCTCTTATATAAACTCGCGGCGCGCTCCACAAGCCATCACATCTCCAGTGCGAGTTTTGAGTTCCACAAGTTCTCTCCACCTCAGAAAATGTTCAAGCTGGTAAGGATTGGCTGCAGCTCTGTCTGGAGTTAATTAAGTGACCAAGCTATTATCCCGTCTTCCAGTTCGTCTTCCTTGCCTTCTGCCTGGCTTTGAGCTGCGCCGCCCCCGGGCTGCTGCACTCGCATGCATCGCCCATCCTGACCCACTCGTACCATAGCCTGCCCTCGGTGAGGGTGATCCAGCCCATCTGGACCACCTCGCACAGCATTGTGCATCCCATCAGCTATGGCATTGGACATGGACATGGTGGCTATGGCCATGGCTACGGCTGGTGAGCGGTGACTCCACCGCAACTCACAAAGAGAGCGTCCTCGCCTGGAGCTATCCTTCGCGGGCTTAGCCACCTTTTTGATGGACATGCCTCAAATAAAGTTTTGAAATTGGTTTGAAATTCATGTGTCATAAATGGAGGGTCTTTGGGGAGGATGGGAACTCCATCTTGATGGCTATTTAAGACGCTGTTATTGTCTGGCCTGGGTTTAGTCATCGTTCAGAAGGCCGGGGATATGTTCGTTGTAAGTACACTCAAGAAAATATAACACACTGAAAGGATAATACATTTAAATTATAAAATATACAAAAAATTATCTATAAATAAAATTAAAAACCTTTAATTTTAAACCTTATAACTTTTTCCTTCTACAGTTTCTTTTAATCTGCTTGACTGTAATTGAGCTGAGCCTAAGCCAGCCCGTGTACGTCATCCTGGCGGCAGGAGTTGGAAGGACAATCGACCCTCAAGAGGAAACCCTCTACCAAAACCAACTTGACCCGCAATCTCTAGAAGCCCTTGCTTTTATCGATGACCCCGCCAAGTTATATGCCCCCAACGATTTCCTTAGTGACCTACATAAACTCGCCATCGGTGTCCAGAAGTTTGTTCAGGATCCACCTAGTTCACTGTACAGTGCGCTCACCAAAAAGAACCACAAGAAGAAGGAACAGAGCCAGAGTCAGAGTCAGAAGCCCGTGAAGCACAAGGTGGTGCTTGACCCCTTCGGCAACATCTCGCTCTTTCTGGGCTGGTCAGTCAACTTTCAGGTGACCAACAGCATCGGCGTGAACAGCATCGGCTAACCTAAGGGTTAACACACTCGACCGACAACTGAAAAGGTTACATACTTCTGGGCTGACACATGAATTGGTAATTTGCATTTAAGCTGGGCCTTTATATAACCCCAAATAAATGCTAAAGGCTCCTGCTCTGTTCTGTTTGTGATTTGCCGCAGATTACGTATACGCTCCCGGTTCTAATTTTACACACGGGGCACGTTGCATTGTCTAAACGCTGTGCGGTGTCGTTGTGTCCGCCTCCGAGAGCTCGCCAGCACGCCCGGCAACATGTGGACGGGCCAAGGATAATTATCCTTAATTGTAATGAGCCGCTGCACTGTTTGCCCTCCTCTGGCTCTATCAGTTTATTATGCCTGCAATTGGAAGAGATGATGATGCGAATTATAAATATTTAATATTACCAAACTATATTTTCCTTAACTATAAATTAGGATTAGGCTTTTAATATTAATATAAATACATAAAGATTTTTTTTTTGCTTTAATTTGTTGTATAAAAATTAATATTTTTAACATAACAATGTTTGCCTTTAAAAAAAACACCTTAAGATCGCAGAATTTATATTTATATAAAGAAATAAAATATGTTTATTTAGTATTGTTAAAATTGTTTACTTAATATCTTTAAACGATTTTATTTTTTGGATTTTTGCCACTTCCTTAATCTTGTTTAAATAAATGTCAAAGTTTTTATTCAAAATCCGGTTAAGTGTGATGCGATCGTAAAAGAGGCACGTGACAAACGCTGAAGAATAGCTTTTTAAGTAAGCTTAATGCCAACATTAAAGATCAAAGTAATTTAAACAAGCACTGCTAATGAAGACAACATTTTTATTTTCTTTTATTTTTACAGATAAAAACCCAAAGTGTCACAACTGGCAGTTAATTTTTGCCTATACGAATTCCTGAAATGCTTGCTGAATAAATGTGACAAAGTTCCTCGTCGTTTCTATCTGCAAAACTTACTATTTATAGAAAGTATTTCAAGAATGAAAGGGTATATTGTATCTGTGAAAATTTACGTAACATGCACAGAAAGAATTCCTGCACTAAATCCAATCAATTTTGCAATTAAAGTGAATAAGAAAATATTTAACCAAACTGAAAACTGAAAGTTCTCTCATATGAATATATCTCATGTATAATAATATATAAAGGAATTTTATCTATAGTTGCGAATTTCTTAAAACCATTCTTGATAGTAAAATTAAATGATAAGAAAACCCCAACTATATATAAAATATCTTTTTATATTATATAATATATTCAAGATATATATACACATAAGATATTTTTCATAATATTCCCCTATTAAGCGATTATGATGTAGGCAAAAATATCCACACTATTCTTTCAAAATAAAGAAACCTTTGGCTCATAATACTTCAGCTATGCATTCCCCTCCAGCGAGTTAAGTACAGGGTATCCCCATTGTCGAATCTCCACACCATAAAGCTTTCATTTTGTTTGTTTTCCTGGATTTAAAGACAAATGCGTTCGTTTGTTTGCGAGTTTATTTCAATTTAGTTGCGAGTGTCAATCCATATTGCTCCTGCTCCGGTGATCACCTTCCTCGTCATCTACTTCTTCAGCAGCAGGGGGGCGGTGTAGGCGGCGGCATACGGGGCAGTGTAGGCGGCGGCATAGGGAGCAGCGTATCCGGCAGTGTAGGCGGCGGTGTAGGGAGCAGCTGCCACATAGGGGGAGGCCACGTACGGAGAGGCCACGTAAGGAGAGGCCACATACGGAGAGGCCACGTAGGGCGAGGAGTAGGCCAAAGGAGCCACGATTCCGGGCTTGGCAGCAGCGCAGGCAAACAGAGCGAAGATAACGGCGACGACGAACTTGAACATCTTGGAAGGATTGGTTGGGTTTTGGTAGTACTTGTCGGATTGAACAAATGCAACTGATGTCTGAAACAGTCAAAGCTTTAGGCTTTTATAGCCACAAGTTGAACGGGGCGACCTTGCAAGGTCTCCGGCCAAAAATTAAATTATTTTTTTTTTTTGGTTAGGCCAGTCACGTAGAGCTCAAGACTTCGGCGAACGCATTTAGGTACGAAGACTCGTACGCGTATTCGCACTCATAGTTTGGCTAATTAAAAACTGGGCCTTAAATTATAAACACTAAGCGGGCAAGTGCCCAGGGTCAAATGTGGGTGGTCGTTGGGTATAAAGCCTCGTGTCCATCCAGCACTTGTCATCAGTTTCGTTTGTCAGCCAGCAAGCCAAAGCCGCCAAAACCACCGCCAAGATGTTCAAGTTCTTCGTCGTCGCCCTGTTCGCTCTGTTCGCCTGCGTGGCTGCCAAGCCCGGAATCGTGGCTCCTTTGGCCTACTCGGCTCCTCTGGTGGCTGCTGCTCCGGCGGCTGCTGTCTACAGCCGGGAGTATCACGGCAACTTCGCAGCTCCCTATGTGGCAGCGGCTTCTCCGTATGTGGCTGCCTCACCCTATGTGGCGTCTCCTTACGTGGCTTCCCCGTATGTGGCATCTCCCTATGTGGCTGCTCCCTACACCGCTCCTCTGCTGCTGAAGAAGTAGGTTGGATCAAAGCCACTCAACTGGATTCAACAAGACAAGCTAAAAAATAAGACAAGAATAAATGAAATATGAAACGGATATAAATTTAATGTTGTTTATTTTTCTTTAAATGCAATACTTTATAGCTAGAAATTCATTTATACAATGGAATATTGGTTTACAATAGTAAGAAAATGTCTTAATACGCTTTTATTCAAATAGGTTTAAGCGTTTAGTTAGATCTTAAAATGTTTGAAAGGAAAAATTAGAGGAAAAACATTTATATCTTTATCCGTATATATGTATCTGGTGTTTGTGTTTACGTTTGGATTTTATTCAAGGTCTTACAGCTCTAAATTATCAAAGCTCAGTGGCATACAGGAAGTACGATCTCTGGACGTCACTTCAACGTCATTTCAGATAAAACCTACAGCAAAACATACCCTCCTTTTCATTCATAATTTTCCGGGTTTTATATTTTGTATTTTTATTTAAATGTCTTTATTTTTTGTACAGAATTTAAATGTACATACATGTATTATAATTATTTAAAGATCATTCTTGGTCAAACTTTCATCTATCTGTTTTATGTCTACTACAATTTTAGTCATTTTTTTACTTATAAAAGGTTACATTTTATATTTTATATTGTATTATTTTTGTATATATTTAATTTCAGCCTTTTAAGAATTTCTTACAAGAAAGTTTACTTTAAGAAAATCAGAATTAGTAAATATTCTTTAAAATTGTTTTGTATTTAAACTGATTGAAATTTTTTTTTTTCAAAATATTATTAATTTTAAAAATACTTTTCTTTTATTTTCAAATCTTTGATTAATCACTGATCACTGTCCAAGGTCATGGTAGCATCCATGGTGGCGGTTGAGTGGAAGACGATGCTGCTCCGGTCATATCTTCCCGATCGCTGATTCTTAAGATATCGTAGCGTTACCAGGGTTACCGCGGCAACCAGAACGATACCGCCCAGAACGTAAGCGAAGACCTGCATGAAAGCCAGGTGCAGCTCAAGATTCCTTGAGTGAGATCCCACTATTTCCAGCTGCTTGGACAACCTCTGGATGTGCGACTCCAGAGCAGATTCCTCGGCAGTGAAGGAGGCATTCAGGGATTCCAGGGATCGACTGATGCAGGATACATCCCGGATGTGCGGAGTCTCCTCCAGATTGTTGTCTGGCTCGATGTTTAGCACCACAGATTCGGCGAGGGATGGAGGGATAAGCAGGTGGTGCAGATAAGAGCAGTTGAAGCGGTTCCGTGAAACCCCTAATTTCTGGAGCTGCGGAAAAGTGTCCGAGAAGGAGCGGTTGCCCTGCAGCTCCCACAGTTCGTTGCCGTCCACCAAAAACTTTTTGAGATTCGTTAGATACGGCACAAACATATCCAGATTGAGGCTGGTCAGGTTGTTGAACGACAAATCAAGTTCCTCTAGATACTTTTGCTTTGAGAACATTCCGAACTTGAGCTCCCGGATCCCGGTGCCCCTGAGATTCAGGCCCCGGAGTCGCTTGAGCTGCGCAAACGTTGAGACATTCAGGGGTCCAATGGGGTTGTCTGAGACATCCAGATACAGCATGTAAGTAATGTTGGTTATGTTCGAGATACTGGTCAGGCGATTGGCGCTCAAGTCGAGCGTCTCGATGTGCAGACTCTGGTGCAGGATGAGCTCCGATATGTTGTTGTGGCTGGCCCGGACGAATCGGGTGGCATTAATGGTCAGATTGGTCAGGTGATTGTTGTCCAAGTGCAGCTGGTGGACGATGTTCTTCTCAGTGAGCTGGAAGTTCCGCAGTTGGTTGTAGGACAGCACCAGGTTCTCCAGGCTGGCAGCCTCCGCGAATGTGTCTGGATGGATGTAGATCAGCTGGTTGTTGGACAGATTAACCTCCTTGATGCGGCGCATATTGCGAAATACCTCCGGCTGAATGGTGGTCAGCAAATTGCCCTCGAAGGACACCTTCTCCAGGTACTCGTTGTCCTTGAAGATATCGCTGTGCAACTCCTTGAGTCGGTTGCCAGTTAGGAAAATCTGGCTTATGGTGTGCAGGCCGCAAAAGGCATTCACACTCAGCGTAGTGATATCGTTGTAGGACAAGTCCAGGCGCATCAGGACATTGGCTCCGATAAACACCGAGGTCTGGATCGAGGTCAGATTGTTGTAGGCCAGATTCAAATAAGTCAGGTTGCTGGCCGCACTGAAGGCGTTCCTCGTCAGCTCCAAGATATTCGTATTCGAGACGTCCAGGGTCTTGAGGTGCGGAAACGTTTCGAAGAGGTGGAAGGGCATGTAGAGCAGCGTCGACTCGTAGAACTTCATGAACTTGACCATGTTCCCCGGCGGAATGTTCTTGATCACGATATTCTGACTGTGCGTGACCGTGAATCCGGTTACCGTGCAAAAGGCCTCGTTCACGTCCATAAATCCCATTGAATCGTACTCGTCACATCGCAGGGGTACGTCTCCTCCACTGCCAGTAGTGCCCGATACCGAGCGCACCAGGATAAGAATCACAGCCAGGATCCTGCGATCCAATTTATTAATCATTTTCACGAACCGTTCGCTCTCAATTAACATCGTAAACTGTCGGAACGAAAGCTAGCAGACTGCAGTCCAGCCAGCCTCCCAATCAATGAATTCCCTACATACACTTGTATATATATTTACATATTGGAATTATCTGGCTCTCCCGAAGATTGTCAGTCCTCAGTAGTCCAGCGTCGGGCTGTAACGAGGAGATAAGAATTGTCGGTCTGCACTTTGTTTTGTTTTGTTTATACTCTTGCGGGGGATCGAGATGAAGTTTGCACATTTTTGCAACAGAAAATCAGTCTTAAGTTTTATAGTTTTGAGTTATTATGGATGCTTACCTTTATTCTAAGAAATTAACATAGAAAATTAGTCTTAAGGTACGATATTATAATAAACAATATAATAAATAAAACAACCTTCAGTTTGAATTAAAAATTTGTTATAAAACCCTCGCTTTTACGAATTGCATTGTCGTTATATCAATATCAATACAATGTGACATCCACCCGTCATCAAAAGAATTTTAAAAGACACAGAAATAACTTGGGAATTTCCAGAAAATAAAGATTAATATCCAAGCTTAAAATTGATAACTAAAATTCTTGGTACAGAACCATCCATTTAGGGCCAAACATACATCCCGCCTGGATCATGTAAAGGGTATTAGTGTACGGCAACTCTTGTGTTCCGCATTTAGACCCCGATATCTGTCTGGCCTGCCGCTCCACCCGGAATGCATAACCATGATGCAGGCTCACCAAGCTGAGCTCCAGCCGACTGGTAACTATAGTTCGACTGACTGACTGACTGACGACCATTGATAACTTTCGGCCCCCTCGAAATCGCATATCTGCATGTGGAGCGTTGACCTTTGTGCGTAACTGTTGCTGCAATCGCCTTTTTGGCCAGTGGGCGTTTCTGGCCAATTTGAATGCTTTGCCGCTGCAATCGAGGAGATTAGATCCGACGGAGCTTGCGTGGGTTCGAATTGCGTAAACTCCATGGCAAAGGTAACCCTGAAACAATGCAATCGCAATCCGATTAAGCCGGGGGAAGTTTCATTGATTTCTGGCCAACTCTTGGCCCAAGAGGTTACTCATCGTTGCCGGCAATTAGTGACCACAGGTGGCTACTGGTCACAGCGGCGAAGCCTTCGCGGCGACAACTTTTATGGGCTCCCAAGGCGGACGTGCCTGGAATAATTAATAGCATTGGATCGGTCTGGACTGGATCGGATCGAAGCGACCTCCCCGGACGGTGGGCACGTAGCCAGAAGCTCAAAGGCCGCTCTGCATTCCCATGCAGGCAACGGTCTCTATGTTATATAGAATCATTCGCCCAATTGGCCATTACCGTGTGTGCCCAGAAATTCAAGCATCCCCGAGTGACTCTCACGGGGTATAAAAGTTGCATGTCCGATCGTTGACAATCGTAGTCCAATTTGCTAGCTCAAATCAAACTAAGTCAACATGTTCAAGCTGGTAGGTGTCCAGTGATGGATTCTCTGATCTCTGGAAAGTACTTAATGGTTTGTCTTGTCTCCTTGCAGTCCGCCCTCGTTGTCCTCTGCGCCCTCGTGGCCTGCTCCATGGCCGAGCCCAAGCCCGCCGTCCTGGCTGCTGTTCCCGCCGGTGTGGTCACCGCCACCAGCTCCCAGTACGTGGCCAGGAACTTTAATGGAGTGGCTGCTGCTCCAATTGTGGCTCCAGTTGCTGCTGCCTACACTGCTCCTGTGGCTGCTGCTTATACCGCTCCTGTTGCCGCTGCTTACACTGCTCCTGTGGCTGCTGCCTACTCCGCATATCCCTATGCTGCCTACCCTTACACCGCGGCCTACACCACGGTTTTGTAAGAAGGACTTGAAGGATATCTACAACGGATTTACAACGGACTAGAAATGGACTTGATAATACAATAAAAAAAACTTAAGACCAAATAATTACAAATATTATTACTTTTTGGGATTTGCTATTTAGGAACGAAAAGGGACATGAAAAATGTAAATATAACCAACGATTTATTTACAATTTTAAAAAGGAACTTACTGTAAATATGGAAGTTTGAAATGATGAGGGATTAATGATCTTCAAAATAGAAAATTCACTCATTTAAAAACATATAGGTTCATCTTTTTTAATTCGTTTAAAAAGGATTCGTACAGGAAACAAAAACAAATAGAAAAATCCTCGTTATACCCTTCTCCCTTGATTACAAATGCGGAAATTATCTCAGTAAATGCCAAGCAAGTGGCGTCACTGAATCTATTGGCAAGATGCTAATGGCAAAAATGATAGATGCCTCAAAAAAATATTCAGACAGAAGCATCTTCCGTAGGAGAAGCACGTGTTGGCTATTTCAAAAGTGGCGTCAGAGCAATGAGTAAACTCTCGTAATTATGCATTTCGCAGCTAAAAATATATTTCATTTAAAACAGAAAAACAATAACAAAAGCGGTAAGAGTATAAGGAAAAACAATTCAACAGGAGGGACAGCAATGTCCTTCGGGAGGGACGACCACTGGCCGGCGGCTCCTCAGGCAATGATCGCCACAACTGGCGGCTGGACGGGAATGGAGGCGCTGAAGCGTCCGAATGGCGGCCACGCAGCTGGGTAAAACAAAGGATAGTTGGGCGGCGGAGCAGAGGCTACACCCGGTGGTGGTCCCAGCGGTCCGAGTGGCGGCGGCTGTGCAGCAGCTCCAGGTGGCGGAGCAGCACGGTGGGCAGGCGGCACATCGATCTCCTCGGCAGCATCCTGGATCTGACCCCCTGCGACCAAGTGGATCAACAGGAGGAGTAGTTGAAGCGCCACCTGAAATGGCCACCGATGGCGAGGCCTCATCATCTTTGAGCAAGTGCATCGTCTTCTCCGCGGAGAATCGCTTGAGACTTACTAATTTCCTGTACATAGCTAGTCCGTGCTGATAAGATCTGATTGCTAAAGGTTCTAAGAGCGAAGTAAGCTCGCCTGGCGAGACAGAACCCAGCTTTATAGACTTCTGAGTGACCGAAACCCGGCAGTTTTTGTGGGTCACCCGCAGAGTCTGGTATCTCAATCAGTGCTATAGACTTGGCCATATATTTATTATTCCGGACAGGCCCCCGCCATCGATTTGTTTTTCGCTTTTCGTCACGCTTTTAAAAATACCAAACGAAAATGAAAACGAAACCGAAAAGTGCAAAGCCATAACGCTGGAGATTCTCCTTGGCTGCCTTTAAAATAGACTTGGAACCGATCTGAGCATGGCCTGTGCATATTAATTTTCCCATTGGCATCACCTTCGTCTTCTGTTTTGGCCTGGAATTTTCTCGGCCGATTCTGCTATATATACCCGGGTGTCTGAGCTCTAGGAGATATCAGTCTAGTACTTGAGAACCAACCGTTCACAACCAACCAACCCAAAGCAATATGTTCAAATACGTAAGGATCCAGGATTAACCACGAGGATCTTCTGAGGATCACAGGAATAATACAAAATTTCTATTTACAGTTCGCTCTGTGCCTGTTCGCCATCGTGGCCTGCGTGTCTGCCAAGCCAGCGGTGATTGCTGCTCCATTGGCGTACAGCGCTTACTCTGCTCCTCTGGTGGCCGCCTCTCCCTACACCGCCGCCTACACTGCTCCGGTGGCCAGCGCGTACTCCGCCTACTCCGCCTATCCCTATGCCTCCGCTTACTCGGCTTACTCCGCCTATCCCTATGCCGCCTACTACCGTTAAGATCTGGACACACGATGGATTACCACGACTGCTCAACTGGACCTGAAATAACCTATATATGTACATGTTACAACAAGGATACTTCCCTCACCTCTAAATCCATATAATCCCTGGTATTAGTTCGGCAGACTCCATTCTTTCCCCACCTTCTCTGCCGGCTGCTGAAAGTTGAAACATGGGAACAGGACACAAAGCAATATAAACGGAAAATAGGAATATAATTGTTGAAATAAATACTGCATTTTGCGCTAAACGTAAATTTTTGGCTTGGTTTCTTATTATAAAATCTTGTAAGAAATTACATACTTTCAGGCTTTTTATGTTTATAAAAAGTTAATTTACAAAGTAACTTTAAAGCTGAGATGTAACTGTATTTGAAACAAAAATGTAATTCTATATTAAAGTTAGATAGAAAATTCAACAAACTAAATTTTTATTCTGAGAACAATTTAAAAATATGTATGTCTCCATTTTCATATATATTTTTCATATTTTTTAACTTTCAAACTTATGGAAATTTCTTAGCCTGAAACTGCTGGTATTTTCATATATGTATATTTTTCTAATAAAAAAAATATATCCCGCATATTATTCTTCATCTAATTAAAAACCAATAGAAACCCCTTTTTTAGAAAAACAATAAATCATAAAAAACTTAAAAGGAAATTGCGTTCTTTGCCAAGGCAATGGCCATGATTACCATTCCTAGAAAGGGTCAACTATAGTTGGCAGGTTTATTGAACTGCCCTTGATCCGTTGTTTACAATTTCCCAGCGCTGGATGTCCTTCACCTTGGCCAAAAGGTTCAGTCCGGTGACGTTCTTCGTCGGTGGATAAACCGATGCTATTTTTATTTGCATCTTCGATTAGAATGCAAAGCGGCGCGTTCAAGTGGCTGACAATTGAAACGCTCGCGGAGCAGAGGGAAAAAGCCGGGCTCAAGCCGGAGACGAAGATGGCCAAGATGGGTTAGATTGGAGGGTTTGGAATGGCACGCACGTCGAGTGCGGGGCCTGGGGGAAGTGTTAGTGCTAAATTATGATAATTCAATCCGCAGAAGGCAGCTGCTGACGCCAGTTTTGCGGAAATGTTCGAGTGGGGGAGGAATACAAAACATAATACATTCAATGAAAATAAAAACTCACAAGGAATGCGTACAATCTATGATAATATCAAATACTGATCCGCCAATTTAAAGTATGCCAGTAAAGCAGCCGAAATTGTTGGCCCTGATTTTGGGCCATGGAACGTGATGAAAATGTTTCAGTTGAAGCGGAGGGCTTTGTCAAGGATAAAATGTGTATTTGAGTATATAAACGGATACAAGCCCAAGCTGTGATATCAAACAGAAGTTTAGCTTCCAAGACGATACAACCAGCCCAAGCAAAATGATGAAATTCGTAAGTTGAAGTAGATATATATTAAAAAGTAACTTGAAATTAAACCAAAATATATTTTAAAAGGATAAATGAATAATAAATCCTTTAGAAAAATTGTTAATCTACCAGAAAATCGAGGAAAAGGTTTATATCAAAATATTTTTTTTAATTCTCTTGCAGTTCGCCGTTGTCCTGTGCGCTCTGTTCGCCATCGCTACTGCCAGTCCCCAACTGTTGGCCTACAACACTCCTCTGGCCTACTCCGCCCCACTGGCCTACAGTTCGTTGCCAGCTGCTGCTGCTCCTCTGGCCTACACCTCTGCCTACGCCCCCTATGTTGCGCCCTATGCCAGCAGTTACAGCGCCCACAGTGTGGCCCACAGTGCCGCCTACCCCGCCGTCTATGCTGCTGCCCCCGTGGCCGCTGTCCTAAAGAAGTAAGGACCTCTGCTTCATGAAGGGATACTGCCAAGCTGACGACACGTGTGTCCTAGGCTCAGGCTCTGGCTCTGAGATAAAGATACAGAGACAGATGCGAGCGGAGATGGAGATACACGCTCCGAGGCAAGAACAAATAAAAACGCAATGCATCTGGCCCACGCACTAACCGACTGAAAAGCTAAACGAGTTTTATTCTTTCCGTTTTAAGCTACACTTGCTGTGGGGGAAAATGGAAAAAGCATAAAAGGATGCATTCAAAATTACTTATTCCTGGAATATAAAGTAAAAGTTAAGGAAAGGAAAGGTATTTCGCAATAAAATCCCCTAAAATGATAGTGAAGTTATTGTAGGATAATTAAATAATTATTAATGTTAACTATTAAATATTGGGAAAATCTTAAAATATAATTTCTATATTCTCTGAAAATGATATCAATGGAATATATTGAAATCACAAAAGGCTGCAACCAAAGTTACCTTTTCCTGGAATGTAGAATAAGAGTTAGTTAGTTAAGGATCTTACCCAGTGGGGTATTTTGCCAAGGAGTCTCTTAATATGAGTTTAAAGAAATTGTAGAATATTGAAATTATTATTAATTTTAACTAAAAAGTATTAGCAAGTTCTTAAAATATCCTTTCTGTTTTCTTTACAAATTATATCAATAATAAATCTAATCTCTTTCCAAAAGGGTATTTTAAACCTTATCCTGGCGGGATTTTTCCGTCTGTTCCGGTTCATCGACACTTTGCCACGTTTCTCTTCAAAATCCTTGAGCGTTGTTTACACTATCCTCGACGCAGTTCATACCCCTTTACAGCTCGTAGAAAGCCCCCACTACCCACCCATTCCATGAACTATAGTTTTAATGGCCAGCCAACGGCAGTGTTTATTATTTTGCTTGGAAATTGCGTGTGTCGCGGCTTAGAGGTCGTTGGCTGCCTCCTTCAACTATTAACAACTAACTTCTACTGTTGCTGCTGCTGCGAATATTGCACTTAATTAAAAGGCGCCGCTTAAATTGCATTTTGCTAATCACGAACAATCAATAAAGCAAACGAAGCCACGCCTCTTTGCCAACTCTGGTATTATTCATGCGCCGCGTGCAACGGCCAAAAGTATGAAAATCAAATCAGGAGAACGACATTTAGCTAAAACGAAAATTTTGCAAATTAATTCAAGTCTTTGGGTTGCTGATTTCAAATTTACTTCGATGTTTTCAACGCCTTTGTCACGCCCTCCCCTGAGAAACCCCATCCGTTTGCACGTTCTGCGGCTCTTGCAGGTAATTTACTTGTTTCCGTTTACTGCTGCTGCAGTCAGAAAATTAAATTAAAATTTTAACACTGGCTTTTGTCTTGATGGTCACGCCTTAATTAATAATGAGAGGGGGAACTTGTAATTGCCGAAGCCCCACTATGGAATTTTGATTTCCTAGGTTATAGTTGAGGATATTGACTTGACCCTTTAAAACATAACTTATTAAAGAAGAAGGTCAATAAATCTACATACTGAACTTAACATTTTGGACAATTCTAACGATGTAACCCCTTATAAAAATTGCAAATTGCACTGTTCGCCAGCATCTGACTAAAAAAATATTACCCTGCAATAATAAAATAAGGTGTCTTACAGCAAGAGTATCCCCCATTCGTTTTTTTACCCAACCCCACCTGCCGCCTCCTTTCAACTTGGCTACGCACATCGAGTGGACAAACAAGGGACAAGACTTCTAGGCCTATTATGCTCAGATATATAATTACGCCCCGCTGGCAAGCGACTGCTCCGGCGATTACAACAATCTTGTCTAATTGACAGTCGTACACTGTCGGGCGTGAGAGCATTGAAACGATAATAATAATGACCGAGCCTGCGATTAGAACTTGCTGCGATCAATTTGCGGAGACATCAAAAAGAGCAAAAAAGCCGGCTCAAGATCGGATTTCAAGTTGGGTGCCCAATAAATTGCATTTTGATTTAATCGCTGTGTTGCACAAGTGCCATGAAATTAATTGCCAGCGATTTTTCGCACTGTGTAGATACATACACCCCGAGCCGGATCTCGGGAGGCTCTTAATTGAAATGCTTGGCAAGTTTGATTTACAGCCCAAAAGCGCAATTCGGGCGGAGAACTTCGGCTAGCCAGTCCCCTGGGGGCCTGTAGCGCCCACACGGCGTATGCGTATGCAAATCCCCTTCGTGTTACGCATGGACAGCCAAGGACCCCTTCTGTACCCTGCCGCCCCCCTTATGTATGCCCAGCCACCTAGTAATTGTCACCAGATCGCTGCCTTTCGATTTGTCCGCAGGCTTTTCTGGACGAGGCCTAAGCCTTTTCTATTAACCCTGTAGAGCCTACTGTGGCTGGGTTGGTAATAAACCCTACACATAAACTAAACACAATTCAAAAACAAATTATTTATATTTTTTTATGATAATTCTGCAAAGCTTAAAGTCAAAATTCATTTTAGTTAGAATCGAAAATCTTTCTTGAGCTACTTTTTATATTATTATATCATATTATATTATACTTTATTTTATACTTTAACATATCATTTATTTTATTATTTTTTATTTTATTACCCTTGCAAAGAAAAGGGTTAAAATCACGCTTGCCTGGGTTCGAGTATCGCCAGCAGGGCGGGGACTTCAACAAGTGCCAGGAGTGCGAGTAGTGCCCCCTTGTAAAGTCCCCCTGAAACACCTGAAACCCCTTTGGTAAGTGTTAAGTGCTTTGGGCTTGCGTAAAGCGCTGTGGAAATTATGCATAGAGTGGGCAAAAAAAAGTCACTGGCAATTAACTGGCAGCCACAACTCCTTCGGCATTGTTGCTGCACTCTGTCGTATATGAGTTATGGCCTCCAGATCATAAGTTACCCTCGCCAGGGGCGTAGAAAAATCCGCTCTCCCCCTTACAGAACGACCTTGCCAACGCCTCTGCCTCAGCCGGAGATCGTTTATATTGTTCTAAGCACACATAAGTGCCAATTTGACTTTGTGCCCCACATAAAGCGGTCTCGAAACGAGTCTGGCCCGGCATCGGGTCTTACGCACAGGTGTGTAACTGCCACGCCCATTAATTTCTGCGCTCTGTGTTGTAATTAAGACTTTAAGACTCCGAATGCTCGAGCATTTACTGTGAAAATTTCTAACAGCTCACGCATTCGCTGCGGCTTATTTAAATGATTTCAGTGGAAACTTGTTGGCTGCACGAAAATAAAGAATCGAAAAAGCCAGAAAACAAAATGCAATTTAAGTTTTTCTCACACACACCTTGTCGTGCAAAATGGTAAATAGAAAAAAAGCAAAACAAACGTATCAGAAATTATTCAAAATCAAAATAGAGAGGAGGTTGAATAGCAAAGTTGGGATACTCTAACTAGGCTACTTGTTGCTTTAACAAATTATATTTATTAACATTATAAAATTAAGTGAATAATTATTGGATAACTGATGGATATTTCAGGGATACCATTTATTACCTTTGATTATCTAATGCTTATTCAAGAAGGCAATCTTTTTTGCTTCTAAAATCCTTAGAAATCCGACAACCCCTACTAAAAGGGTATGACAAATCGCAGGCCAGACCAACATCCGCGTTGTCTGGGGCGGGGCCAGGCAGTGCTCTTTCGGGTCCCAGTCGCAGTTGCTGTCGCTGTCGCCTCCATCTCCATCTACATCTCTGCCTGGCTCGACCGGCCAGCTTTGCATGGCTCTCTGGGCCGCCGACTCAGTTTTGGGCCGAGTCTCTCCATCGAAGCAAAGTAAAAGTGCATTTGGCCAGGTCTCTGGGCCTGGTCGTTGGTCTCCCCAGCTCGAATCCGTTCTCGGGCCACAATTTCGGCCAGGTTTGGGCTATAAAAGCATTTGAGCTTCTGACAGCGGCATTATTCAGCTTTGTGTTCTTGCCAAGAGTTCAGTCAGCAACAAACCCCAAAATGTTCAAATACGTAAGTCCTTTGAAGGTGCTCCTTGATGTGTAACTGGATACATTCTATCTCCCCGCAGTTCGTTTTCGCCGTCTTCTGCCTGGCCAGCGCTGCCGCCGCTCCAGGATACTTGGGTGGTGCCCCTGGATACTTGGGAGCTGCTCCGGCCGTCTCCTACGGACATGCCCTAGCCGCTCCTTCGTACGCCTCTTATGGACTGGCACCCAGACTTAGCTATGCCGCCCCAGCTCTTGCCCGACCGGCTGTGTACGCCTCGCCTGCCCTGAGCCATGGATCTCTGGCTTTGGCTCATGCTCCGCTGGCCGTCTCCCATGCCCCGCTGTCCTTGGCTCATGCTCCGTTGTCCTTGGCCCCTGCTCCCTTGGGCCTGGCACATGGTCCCTTGGGTCTGGCACATGGTTCTTTGGGTCTGGCGCATCCTCAGTTGGGTCTTCATGGTTGGTAAATGGTCAAGAATCCCGTCCAGCATCGTTTTCTGCATCGCTTTCGTTTCGCTTGGATTGGAGGAAGGAGAAGTTGAGTGCACACAGCCAGAAAACTGAGAGATAGAGGAAGGAGCAGAGATTTTCTTGTACAAAAAGCTAAAACTATGTAAATATGTGAGTTTGATGTTGAATTATAATTCGGATTTTATAAAAAAATCTTCGATTTTTCTTTTTTTAAGAGGTTTAATTAAATTAAATCATTTGTGATTATTTACGAGAACGACTCTTTATTAAATTTCAAACTTTTACTTGGTGAAAGAAATAGTTTCATAGCCCCTTAAGTATTATAATTTATAATTTTCCCATTAGTTTCAGAATCTTACGAATAATCCGCTGAAAAAACATTCCAAAACTTTTGACTTTACATCACATTTTCCCACTTCCAACGCATATTATTACTGCTTTATGGTTATTCGTTTTGTCTATTGATTTATTGACTTGCTGAGTGATTGACTGATTAAGGCTATCGTAATGCTTGGTACTGCGAAGTAAATGACTCGATTGAAGCTCTCACATGCTGCACGCTCGCCTTGGCTCCACTTGGCTTGAATCCGGATTGACATCTCTACCAGCCATGGCCGTAGCCATAGCCATGGCCCAGTCCGTAGCCCAGACCGAGACCCAGGCCATGTCCGTAGAGTCCGTGTCCTCCATAGCCTCCAATATATCCGTGACCCAGGCCTAATCCATAGCCGCCCAGATAGCTCTTGCCAATGATTGTCTTGGAAACGATGGGAGCATGGTAGCCCAGTCCCAGGCCCAAACCCAATCCTCCATAGTGACCGCCATAGAGGCCGCCAATGTGACCGATTCCTAGTCCAAGTCCGAGACCATATCCCCCATAACCATGTCCCAGGCCCAATCCAATGCTGGGCGAGGGAGCTGGAGCAGGAGCTGGTTCAGGTGCGGGTTCTGGAGCGGGAGCTGCCAGGCTGCTGGCCGTCAGGCAGAGGATAGTCACAAGTATCAGCTGGGAAATAATAAAAAATAAAAATATATTATTTCGTTTTAGAAAATTAGATATTAAGTCGAAAGTTTAATACTTTAATAACTATTTCTTTCATCAAATCAAAATAAAATTAGTAACTTTTAATTTGCATTTTGAATGGCAAATCATATAATACTCTTTGAATATTCTAAGAAGAAAAGACACACCTTAATTCATTCCAGAAATTTTGTTAATATATTAAACAAATATTATTTAAATGTAGCTTGAATAAGCTAATATGACGGGTTTGAATTTTTATTATCTAAACTTATTTACGATTTTATTAGTGTTCTTCTAAGCTGCCTTTAATTGGCTATTATTTCTCGTTATTTAAACTAATTTATTGCCATAAATAATTCATTTAGAGAGCTTTCTAAATTAGTATATCTAAGATCCTATAGATATTAAGGTATTTCTTTATCCTTTAGATATCCTTTTCTACTCACTTCTTTATACATGTTGCTGGTTATAGTTTTTCCGCTGCTGCTAGAGAGGCTGGACCGAATGTGTTACTGCCGCTGATCCCGGCCTGTCTCTTTTATACCAATCCCCAGTGCAGCGGATTGCATCCCCAATATGGACATCGATGATCTAATGAGCAGTGAGTGCAACAACGCAAATTAAATCTAATTCATTGGAGTTGCCCAAGTGAGCAGCCATCCTGAGTGGCCACAGGCTTTCAAGAAAACCAAGTTCCAACACCTGTTTTCGTTGCGTTTGGGCCGTGGCTTCGCCTTTTGGGCCTCCATTGTATAATCTGCAATCGAGTTTGGCATTTACCAGTTTACAATAGTTCCAGTTTCAGTTTTTTTTTTCTTACTTTTTTTTATTTGTGTGTATTTATTTCTACCTGTGGGCAGCTAAGGTCTAGTGGGTGGCCTTTTCTAGCGATTCAGTCATGTGACTCCAAACAAATTTGGCTAAGAACTGTGGCTTTGGTTTGGGGTCAATGCGCCTCGGATGTTTGGTCAGTGTCTAAAGAAGACAAGTATATCTTCAGATGCCCTTTTATTAAATAAAATTTAATATTAAATTAGCGGAAAAACATTAGAAAGGTTATAAAAGAACGGGTCAGAAATTTCTAGAAAATTAAAAATCGAGACTTATAATGGAATCTCTGAAGTATTCAAAGTTTGAATCATATTTGTAATTATTTAGAGGATTCTTTTTCTGCCCAGATATATGATATTTAATTTATAAAAGTTTATATTTTTCCATATAAGAAAAATCTAGCCATAAACCTTATATATAGGGTATGCCATACTATATTATAAATACAGCCATTATAACAGCTTGAGCTTAAAGAGCACAAATCGCCGCTAAATGAAGGCAAACTAATCAATTCTTGACACCTCCGAGAGCCACATAAAAATAGCTCAAAAACACAAGATTGGGCAATGATTATGTCTTGAGAGACAATAAAAACGGGGAAAAAAAGCCAGATTCGAAGACGTGCGACCAAATAAATATAAATAAAAATAAAGAGACAAAAACTTAACAAAAACAAAAACGAAGAAATGTAAAAAAGGCATAATTAAGTGCACAAAAGAGTCACTGACACTTTGACAATCTTTGGCGGCGTGGACGCTTTAAACTTGAACTTGAAAACGGGTTTTTCTCGAAGAGAAGGGGACAAAGGCCCAGTGGAGTAGTGGGAGATGTGGCTACTACTTACTATATGGGATGTTGCAACAGGTTCCCCAAGGAAATGCAGTTGGAACACTACTCCAAGGGGAGTGTCAACCGGTTCCTAACTGTTATCCCAGGTGGGGGGAGAAGTTGGAAATGCAGCGATGAAGACGAGCCTATAAATTCATTGGCCTTCGGCCGATCTCTGTTTAGTCCAAGTGCAGTCCCAGCGAGAAAATCACCAAAGAGAATGCTCAAGGTAAACGGGCCAATTAGTCAGATTCTCTAGGAATTATTATCTCACATCTACCCTGAAGATTTTCGTGCTATTCGCCCTTCTGAGTGCTGGCCTGGCCGCCACGGTTATCTACCATCATCCATTGGTTTACCATCATCCTCTGCCGGTGGCCTCCACGCCTCAGGAGTTGGCCCAGCATCCGGGTTACACCATTGTTGCGCCACTCACCAAGATTGCCCACGTCACCTACGACTCCGTGCCCATCTCTCACACGCCCTACGAGCATGTTCCGCTTTTCCAGCGAATTGGTCATGTGAAGCATTCGCGGTTCTAGGAGAATCGAGAGGGGATTAGAGATAAGAATATATTATAATTTGATATAGAACTACAAAAACAAAATAAATAAAATATAATAAATAAAAAAACAACAGTTTCAGCTTTGTTAATAAATGTTTCATGTTTATATTTACATAAAATACATAATATTTTTAATACAAAATATATAAAAATAATATGAAATATTTTAATAATTTTTAAAAGAATATTTTCGCAGAGCTTTCCTCTAATATTTCTTGTAAATTCTAAATTATTGTTTAATTTAAAATAGTATTCTTAAAGAAATCCAGCGGCAACTCCTTTAAAAAATTCTGGGTTGTAAGTTTCGAAAGTTAGGGCATATTTACACCAGGCTGTGCGTTATTGCGTTAATTTCGATTTCGATAGGTAACCCAGGTCGGTGTAAATATACTATTACTCATCGATATAATATCGATTGACCCTTGTAAACTTTTGTACTGACAACTTCTATAGAATTTTTTATTCACTTTCATTTTGGTTTCGCCTGTGAAAAGGTTTTTGTTTTCTAAGCTTTTATTATTAATAGAACAAAATATTTTAATAAAGCTGCAAAGAAGAGAAACTTCGCTGAAATGACCTATCCAGTGTTTCGCGACGCCTTGATGGAGAGCATCCTTGAGGAGATGACGGAGAATGGAGAGATAACCAAGTTAATGGCCGACAAACTGCGGAAGATTGTCTACGAGAAATGCCTGATCTGGATGGTTGAGGCGATCTGTCCTGGTGGTCCTGAGGTCGCTGAACCTGATACCGATTTTTGAATACTTCTTCAATAAAACAATATCAACAACAACAATCAATATTCTTGGCCTTCCTTTTCTTTTAAGAATATATTAGTAACCCCCGAAAAACACATTAAATAATTCAATTTATGATTTATTTATTCGCCAAGCATTGATGCTGTCTGGGGATGATGATTTGGACTAAGTTCTACAAGCTAATAGGACGGATGGGCGTGAGCTGAGTGATCCTGTGACTAAATCCTTAGAAGAAGTACGGGGCGGGCGCGGCGAACTTGGGTGCCAAGGCCAGAGGCGCTGGCACTGGCACTGGAGCTGCGAACGGAGCAAATCCGAACTTGGCGGGAGCAGCAAAGGCCACGGGCGCCGGGGCAGGAGCAAAGCCCAGAGGAGCAGCCAGAGGAGCAGCCCCAGGAGCGGGGGCAGCGAAGGCCACCTTGGGGGGAGCAGCCACAGCAACGGCAGGAGCGGGAGCAGCAAAAGCGGGCACACCGAATCCAACCTTAGCAGGGGCAGCGAAGGCAACTGGAGCTGGTGCAGCCACTGGCAAGGAAGCAGCCACTGGGAGAGGAGCGGGAGCAGCAAAGGCCACCGGCGCAGGAGCTGCCACAGGAACGGGCAGGGGAGCGGGAGCAGCGAAGGCCACTGGTGCTGGAACTGGAGCCACAGGATAGGCCACGGCGTGGTTGATGCGGTGGGCATTGAAGCTGGAGGCATAAGGAGCCACCACGCTGGCGGTGGCCACAGGAGCAGCCACTGGTGCGGCCAGAGGAGCCGCAAATGGAGTCAGAGGAGCAGCCAGCGGAGCAGCCAGTGGCGCAGCTAGAGGAGCGGGAGCATGGAAGGGCAGAAGACCGGCCTGGGCAGTGGCCACGCAGAGGGCGACGAGCTAAAGCAGAAATTAACACAAAAATAAGTATCCTTGGAGGAAATCCACTGAAGAAGATATTCCCGAAAACTCACCACAATCTTGGCGAACATTTTGCTTGAATTGAGGATTAGGTAGCTGTGATTAGCTGGAGGGCAGACCGAACTGTGATGTCCAATTGTCTGGCGGGCATTGCTTTTATAATTCTGTTGCCCGCGGATAATCCGTGGCAAAGCATACGAAAACACCTTGGAAGACTTTCTATATTGGGCGTCGATGAAGGTTGGATCGGGTGTACTTAATAATCAATTGGTCGCCTCTTACGTCGCAGTGTCCCCGAAAACGACACTTTCATAATTGCACGCAATTCCCGACCATAACCTAGGCCAATGTTGGGCAAGATTTCGTTTGCGGGCCGAGCTTCTTCCCACCTTTTTTCACTGGGCTTAAGCCAACAGTATTTACCCATAATAAGTGTATGTATGTACGTGTTACCACCCCCAACGGCCGCTTGGTTAAATCATTTAATCGAATTGCCACTCTTTTACCAGCTCTGCAACGATTGTCGCGTGTTTGGGCCGCGTCTGTGTCTGGAATCTCTGATTTGATTTCTTGTTGCGTGCGGTTGGAAATTCACTAACAACATTTCTGTGTTACCAACACTTACACCAGTGTGTGTATTGGCCGAATTTGGCGGCATTACGACGCGTCTGGTTCGTAATGAGAGTCTGAATCAGATATAATTTATGTTGCTTTTGGCTAATTTCTACTGTGACTATGATTTTATCACTTCTGGTTAAATTCTTTTGGGTTTTGGTATTTATTTTCGGTTATTTTGGTAGTCATTGCAATACCATCTGGGAATTCCAAGAGCTGAAGGCATTATTTTATATATTTTAAGACCATTAAGGTAAAATGTTTAATATTTAACTCCCACTTAGGTAACTTCTTGAAAGAACTGTCAAATTTATATACAAGTTTTCGTTTTATTTAACTAATTATATTCGATAAATTATTGTTTAATTCGTAGATTAATATTTAACATTTACTAGCTGACTTTGATGATTCTTTGGTGAGTTCTCCATCATCCTTATGGGTTTCTAGAACAAGGACCAGTCCTTGTGATGGGCCCACTTCAGGGGCAGGGCCTTCAAGTGGACATGCGGCTTGGCCAGCAACTTGGGAAAGGCGTAGCCAATGGACACCTTGTGGGTCGTTGTCTTGGGTCCGGGAATGGCCCGATAACTGGGTGCAAAGGGAACTGCTTCCACGACAGGCGGCAGCACATGGTGGTGGACGGTGGGCAGGTGGAATTCCGGCAGAAGTGGTGCAGCAGCGGGCAGACATGCAGGTGCAGGAAATACTGGAGCTGGAGCAGGTAACAGGGGAGCTGGAGCAGGTAACAGAGGAGCTGGGGCAGGTAAAAGAGGAGCCGGGGCTGGCAAAAGTGGAGCTGGAGCTGGAAGAAGCGGTGCCGGAGCATAGACAGGAGCTGGAGGAAGGAAAGCTGGAGCCGGAGGAGTGAAAACAGGTGCCGGAGGTGCAAACACCGGTGCTGGTGGCCCATCCAATGGCGGTGGAGGACCATAAACCGGTGATGCAGGACCATAAACAGGACTAGGGGCAAAGGCTGGAGGTGGAGCCACTGCAGGAAGCACAGGCGCTGGAGCTGGAGCTGGTAGAACGGCTTCCTGCACTGCGTAATCCAAGTGATGTGGCAGGGCATGGAGTGCCTCCAAATGGTGTCCATCGAAGTGATTGAAGTGGTGATTAAAGTGATGATGCGAAGGCTTAGCCTCACCAGCCGCCACCAAAAGGAAGGCCAAGGCAAATGTCTGTGAAAATAATTAATTATAATTAAGAATCTCCGTTATCAAGAGTCCTAATCAAATCCTCTCACCCATGTCTGTGACCGCATCTTGCTTGGTGGATGGTTTCTTTGGTTTCTTGGGGGAATTAGCTTGTCGATCGATGTGCTCGACCTGTTGGTTCGGTTGCCAATGTCTCTCCATTGTCAAGAGCCATTAATATTTATAGGGAAATTCAGTCAAAAGACTTGCACTTGCATTTCTTCACTTTCATAGCCTTTATGGGCGGCTTGCCTGGGTTGGGTATCCCAGTCCCAATCCGGCTTAGTTGGTCAGCAAGTCGTGACTGCGACCGATCAGCCGAGGGGCCAATAACTTCTTGGCCGATTTGAAAGCACGGCCCATGATTATATAATAGTATCGGGCCCAGACATTGAAGTTATCCAAACGTGGAATATGATTATGATAGCCAATAAATAATGCTTTTACCATAAATAACAATCGATTGCGCCTAAGGTGGCAACGCAATCACACAGGCATTTTGCTTTATTTACAAACTTTTTTACTATATATTTTCCTAAGTCGTATTTAGGGTTTTCTTGAGTCTATGAAAGCTGACTTAACTAGGATTTACCGCAGGAATAATTAAAAAAAGGGTATTTTTAAATTATTTTGTATTAAAATAGGTTTAAAAGCTTTTGGTAAGAAAATATAGACTTTTAAAAGGAATAGTTTAAAATAAAAGCTAGTATGAATTCCTTAAATTCCTGAAATTGTAAGTATTACTAAAGTTTAACCTACTTAAAAACCAGGAAGTTATTAATTTAAATATTCAAGATTTTATAGAAAATACATTTAAAACTTTAAAATCGATATTCAAAAAATAATTTCCCATAAGAATTCTTTCATGATTTTTCTTTATAATTTAACCAATGAATGATGTCTAACTAAATTATTTCCCAATTTTTATAAAAGTAATTAACTTGAAAAATAATTATTTCAACTAATATTTCCCCCATTAAACATGAAACTTTATAGATTGATAATTAATTTGTCATTTTTTAATCACAAAATTGTTTACAGGAATTGTCTAGAGATTGTCTTGGTTCACAGGTGCGTCCTTAGACCACCACTGGAGCGGGGGCAGCGGCGGCGAAGGGAGCGGTGTAGGGCGATGCCAGGTAGGGCGAGGCGTAGGGATAGGCGGAGTAGGCAGCGGCGTAGGGAGCAGCATAGGGAGCAGCATAGGGAGCAGCATAAGGAGCGGCATAAGCAGCGGTGTAGGGAGCAGCAGCCAGAGGAGCAGCAACTGGGGCAGCCAGGGGAGCAGCCACTGGGGCAGCCAGGGGAGCAGCTGCATACTTGGCCACTACAGCGGGAGCAGCTGGGATGCCGGACACATAGCGGCTGGAGTAGGGAGCGGTGAACTCGAAGGGGGCCGTGGTGTAGGAGGACAAGGTGCCATCATAGTTGTTACGAACATCCACCTGGCTGCTGCCGCCGGCGGCATACAGCGGGGCATTGGCATAGGCCAAAGGAGCAGCGGCCAGAGGAGCCACCACACCGGGCTTGGCCGCGGAGCAGGCAATCAGGGCGGCGATGACCAACTGGAAATAGACGAATCAATCAGTAACATAATCCTTTTCCTTTTGGAGCTAATCCCCTTTTGGTTTGTTGAACTTACAAACTTGTACATTTTGCTGGCTGGGGGTTGATGGTTTCTAAAGCTCTTGAGCGATAATGTCCATTGGGAGCCAGCTCAGTGGCTTATATAGCTCGTGCCCATATCCGTGCTCTTTGGGGGACATTCTGTCTGAGCCGACTTTTTTGGTCGCTTCTTCTTTAGCTGCTGGTGGCCCACCTGGGCGAGTGCCAGCCAGCATACATGATCGCCATTTGGCCAAGACGTGATCCGCCTTCAATTGCCCAATGTATTGTCGGAAGTTGTCCAAGTTGTCGCTCGAAATGGTGCACAGGGAGAAATTTGTAGCACAAACCCAAGGATAATAAATTAAAAAAACTAATTACAATTACTAAAAGCTAATTGATTTCTCTATTTAATCATATTTACAGGCTGAAAGTATTTGAAAACTTTAAATGATTTATTTTTTGAGGACTTTAACTTGCTTCTAAATTACTTTGTCTTTAATTTTTCCAGTGCCTTGATCGACATTTGTATGCAGCCAAAGGCTCCCTTGGTGGCTGAACTGTCTATGCGTAATTTGCAGTCTGTTTGGGCCATCAATGTGTGTCGTCTTGCATTGAATTGAACGCAATCTAAGCCAAATTGGCTATTAAAAATTGCCGTTCCCCGCTGGGCTGCCATTCCGGCCCACTAAATGTCTCATTAGTTCGCTTTTTAATGGCCAGCAGAGAGTTGCCACTAAAAGGCGCTCGTAAATTTCCCTCTCATCCTTGCCGCCGAGGCTTCATTTGTTTTCGTGTCAGCCCCTTTTGACCTTGACGCCATCTGGCCACAGGATGTGATGAAGGTGCCGCTGAATGGATGGAGTTGCCTCAATCTTTGCGAGCCGACTTAATTGGCCAGAGGAGAGCGAGCAAGCGGGGGGTGAGTGAGTGGAGGCGATCATGTGGCCAAAACCGGCTTGCGGACTTAATGAGCCATCGAAGTCACCGCTCTCTTGGTCACGTGCTAGCCTGGTCAGCATCTTCGTCATCTGATGAACTGCTGGCTCTGCGATTTACAGTGTTTTACCCTTTAGGAGAGGGGTATTTTCGTATAAAAAAAGAAACTATAACCTGAAAAACAATCTCTTAAATCAGTTCTAAATAAGATGAATCAGATTTTAGTACTTATTTGTAAATATTTATTTAAAATCACAAAATCTTTTGCATTACAATCTTCAGTTTTATATAATTTAAATAATTCATATTTTTTCTTTTACAAATTCTTTAATTTTAAACTTGGACAGAGCATCTCTGTTTCAGCTGCTTCTGGAATCCGATCCGCAGACGATGACGACGATCTCAAGGCCGTTTTGGTGACGAGTCGAGAGGGCGAGAGATATATATTTTATCCGACAATCCACAGATCGAGTTGCCCCACGCATGTAACTGTATACTCTGGTCTGTATCCGCATTCGATTGATCCAATCTTGGTAGTAACCACAGGTGGTACTGCGAGCCTGACCTCTCACAAGACAATTTCTGGACTGAAATTCTCAACCGATGACGCCGCCGATTTTCCAGTGAGTCAAGCGCGGAAATATGTTCACCGCTGCCCATCATCATCATCATCTTCGACACTTCACTTGAGATCGGTGGTAACCGCTCACTTCCTAGTCGAGATTTTTCATTCGATTGCAGCACCAAAAACTGATTTAGAGCCCCTTCAGTGGCGATGATGATGTCCCCTTTGGGAAGTAAGAATTATTTGGCTGTCGTCAATACCGTTTGATTTTAATGGATTTTCGGAAACCAAATTTATGCAGATCACATTCGAATTCCTGTTTGTTGTTTTCGCGGGAAAGCAGGTTCTATCCCCCATAAACATCTATATAGATCCCGGTCCCAGTTTGCAGTTCCCAGTTCCGTTCCCAGATCTGATCAATGACACTTGACTTTAATTGGCTTTCATAAATAAACGTCAGATCTTAGGCACTGCTAGTTAGGTTCATTTTTTCGCTGTCTCGTTTTTTCTCAGCCATTTCCAATGCCAAGTTTAAGGCCCCATTGTGGGGAGCGAATGATGGAGATCTCTTGGCCCGATTGATGTGTATATGTATGTAAATGCCCAGCCATTAAACCATCCGAGGAGAGTGAAAGGTGTAAACGCAGACCTCTTTTTTTTCTGAGCCATGTCTGCGACGCGACCTTCAAAACATTATGCAAATGCAGTCTCCATCGATGGCAATGAGACGAAAAATGGCCAATAAAAAAGCACTCACAAGTCACACCAAAAAGCTAAGCTTAGATGGCAAGTTTATTATCAATGTGTGTTGTGGTATTCACTAGGAGGAGAAGCCACCGCAGTTTGATGATCAGTCGGGATGGCTCACTCCTTTTCTCTCTTTTAATGTAATATTTATTATTCTAGGACCTATTTAGGATGGGCGGACTAACGCCTCTGGATCTGCGGTGTCCCATAGGAGGTGAGGCCCGTGGTCCTCGGCACACTGGCATAGGGGGCTCCGGCCTGCAGCGGCAGCTGGGCCACATTCAAGGGAGCAATGCCAAAGGGCACTGGCAGCTTGAGATTCAGAGAATTGGCATCCACAGCCGCCGAGGGTAAGGCTCTTCCTGTGGCCACTCCACCGCCTGGAGCTGTCGCCTGAGCCTGGGGCGCTGAGGAGGCCACCTGGAGGGGAGCTGAGGGTGCTCCGAACACATAACCCTGACTGGTAAGTGCCTGGGTAAAGGCAGCCTGCTCCAGGGCAGGTTCAGCAAACTGACGAGCCACCTGGTGATACTGCTGAGGTTGAGGCTTGGCCGCCACCTGTTGGTACCTCTGCTGGACTACTCGCTGGACAGCCGGCTGCTGCTGCCTGCTGGGAGCAGGGTAATGGTAGTAGGCCAACTGGGAGCTGGGCGTGATGGAGTATTCCAAGTGGGAGACGTCGGCCAGAGCCAGGCTGAGAAGTTGCAGCAGCAGAATCCACAAAAAGGAGAACTGAAAGAGGTTCAATTAAACCTTTTGATCGTGTTTTTATCACACTTATCGCTCACTTTGGAAGACATTGTCACAGCACTGTTTTTTAAGTTCTTGTTCTTAAATTAATGTATTATTTTTCGATGTAATCCAGCCACCGATCGGAGTATTAATTCGTTGATGTTCGCAGGCGCAGCTGTGGCTGCTGATTAAAATTGGTGAGGCCGCTGAAGATGCTTTTTATATGCGTATTGAGGAGCTCTGCCATCGGTTCTCAGACCTGTTGCCCTCTCTCACTCTCAGTCTGTTGCCTTCTTTGATTTCGAATGTTTTTGGAAGCCACAACGCTCGAGTGCAGGCCAAGACGAAGCTTTTTGGCATTTTGTTGCCTTTGTTTATTTACTTTGTTTGATTGTTGGCTTTTCGGTGGCTTAACAAAGCTGTTGCCGAGCAGTTTTGTCTATTGATAATATTGATATTTGGCTGCCTTGCATATAAATCAATGTTGGTCATTTTTATTGGCATCCGAACTATGCAACTAAACAAAGTCACATCCACTGGCTCAGTGTGACTTTTGCAGGGGTTCGACTCTGAATTTTGGCAAGCCCCCTCTGGGCTGAGCCCCTGTTCTTAGCCATTCTGCATGTCTACAGCATTTGAGCTTATTAAACACCGAGAGCGTCATGTGACTCCTGCCAGAAAAGCCGCACAAACATAAAAGCCATTAGCCCCCAGCCCAAACTGAGGACTTTGGCGGATCGGAGCGATGAGGTACGAGATTTGCATGCTAAAGACGCGATTGTTGTCTATATCTCTGAATTTGATTGGCTCTCTTTCTGTGCGGTGCGAGGCTCTCGTCGAAGATTGACCTCAGCCGGTGGGGCATAATCACAATCTATGCGCATCTAATTTTGGATTACACTGAACGAAAGGGGGTTATTTGATATATAATAAGCGTAGAATTTATTGAAAGGGAAAACAAATTAAGTAACATTTCTGAAGGCACTCTAAACCTATTTCAAAAAGCTTATTATTTAAGTAATGTATTTAAATTTTTATATTAAAAAAAAAAAAAAAAAAATTTTTAAAAAATAAAAGTGGAATAATATTTTGTTCATTTTTTTAATTTAATAAAAATTTAGATACAATAAAAAATTATTTATTGTATTTGTATATTATTTTTTTTCATTTTCTATTCAAAGTGTAATAATTATTTAATTTTAATTAATTCCCTTCGCCGAGATTTAGGGAATTTTAATACAGAAAAAAATAATATCAATGAATAAAACATTTTTTTAAGATTATTAAATGTTTATGCAGGAAACCAGTTTCTTAACTGGCAAATATGACACCTATTATTCAATCGCCGAACACGGAAATCATAAATTTATTTGTTTTTCAACCTATTTCCCATTGGCTTGAAGTGTAATTAAGATGTTTATCGACTCGTTTAACTATTGACCCAATTGGCTGCGAGCTCGACTCTCTCGTTCACACGTTGAGTTAGGTCAGTTGGTCAGGAGGAGCCGTTGGAGTTAATAACCGTTGATCGGTCTGGGTCTCGGTCTGGGTCTGGGGCCCTCTCAGTGTCATGCCTCGCCTTTGACCAAAATTGGCGATGCCGAAAATTGCTCGAAGCCATGAAAACATCTGAATTATTTATGGGTTTTTCGATATAAGCATAATTAAATCGCTACGCTGCGCGTTCTTCGCATAAATTCACGACTCGCGTATAATACGAAACATAACAACATTATTTAGATTTAATTAATTGCTAATTTGAGGAAATTATCATTCATAGTTATGCATAATGAGCTAAGCCCATCTGGGGTTTCTCGAGTTACCAGCCCTGAGTGTTAAAGGCGACGGGAGAATGATGAGAAGGAGGATGAGGAGCTCCGTAAACAGCTGCCGGGGTGTGAGGAGGCGGTGACCCAAAGTGGAGTTTGTATCTGCCATAGGACGGAGGAGCTGCAAACTGGTAACCGGTTGGCGGGGCAGCATATCTCGTTAGGAATTGTGGCGGTGGAGCAGCGGCATAGTGAGCAACTGGTGGCGGGGCAGCTGCATAATGAGCCACTGGCGGTGGAGCATAATGAGCCTGCGCTGGTGCTGCAAATCCCGAGTAAGTGGTGGTTGTTGTGGTCACTGGTGCTCCCAAGGAATACTTGATAACGGGCTGAGGTGCCTCATAAGCTGTTGCGTACTTAAAGATGGCCGGAGGAGCTGGTGCTCCATAAGCAAAGGCATGATGAGCACTAAAGGCTGCTGGAACAGTCACAGTATCCGAGACAGGAACAGCTACGGGAGCAGGAACCGCCACAGGTGTGGGCACAGCCACTGGAGCAGGAACCGGAACTGGCGAAGGCACCGGAAATGGCACTGGCACTGGTACACCCACAGGCACACTCACGGCAGATGGGCCGTGAAAGAAGCTTCCGAGAACAGGAGAGCCAAGCCACAGCAGAACACTCAACAGCAGAGTACTCTAAGTAATAAAAATATTAAATATATTATATTTTAAATATTATTAAATACTTTTATTTCACTTTGCCCTTACAATTTTGTACATTTTTGGCCCTTTATGCTTTCTTCCGTTTTCAATTTCCGTATTAAGTCACTTCTCTTCGACACTTTCACACGTAATGAATCGATTTTGGTTGACCATTGCAGGTTTATATACCACGATCCAAGAGTTGCGTCGCTCACATTATGCTGATTTCGGGGAGGAGTGCGGGTACTTGGGGTACGAAAAGTAAAAACTCCATTAAGGGATCTGCGCACGACGTGCAATCGACAAGCGAATCGTGCGGCAAATGCATGCGACAAGTTTTGCAATGCCCCATCTTCAAGGGAAGTGGGATGGAGACCCAACCTTTATATAAATTAATTAGGGCGATTCTTTAATTAATTAATTAGTTAAATTTTTGATGTATTAAAAACTGACTCTAGAAAGAGAAGGCTTTAAAATGTGACTTTACAAAATTAAGATTTTCTTTGTATTTATTCTGAATTTTTTGGTTTTAAATTATTAATACAAATTAAATTATTTATACAAATTAAAATTATATACTTTACACAATTTACTTTAATAAAAAAAATTTGTACTTAAACCAGGATGCGTCATATCATCTGTTTTATTTCCTTTTTGTCTGATCATCCAATGAGCCTTATAAATCCAAGCTAACCCTCTAATCACAGCTCAAATTAAGCCCCTACATTTTGATATCTCAACCAAGATAAGTCAGTCGAGTTCAGGTGCCATTAGCATGAACACACTTCACTTGGCCATATATCCATGGATCACATTTACCAAGTGCAGTGAGACTTTTACTGCCGCCGTCAGCGTCGCACTGGCAGTTGCAACAACCCATTGCGATCACGTTCCAGGCACCTTTTTATGCCTTATGACTCTGATTGATGACCGTTGCCGAAATATAAATGCCAAAATATCACACGCCAGTTAAAAGTCGATTTATTACCGCCGCCAACAAAGCCGGCAAAGCTCTCAATTAGCAGGGCCAAGCCCAAAAGTTGGCAGTACATTTCGGGGGTCGAAGCAACGGCCCAAAAGCGGGCAACTCGTGCTCCATAAAAGACTGAATCTGTCGTAAACAGGCGAAATTCCCGCACGGGTGGCCAATTAAATTGGCTGCCAAATGCGCGACACGCGCTCATCGAAATTGTCAACACAAAACAATGAAGTTTGGTGGGGAGGCTGGGTTGGGCCGGGCCATAAACCGGGGGAAACCGGCGAAATTACCATAACAAAGTGGCTAAATCAGAAATCGATATGTTCACCTTCGCTGAACCGAAAAGCAACGAGCTTTCCACGAAGATTTCCCCGTGCCGCGCCAAGTGGAGCACACGCCCAGCTCTTGAGAGCTCCTCGAGAGGTTGCCCCGCGATTGCCACTGCTGATGGCAACAGGTGCTCTTGAGGCAACATCATCATCGCATACATATAATGTAATGCGTACTAAATCGTTGCACGTGTTTCGCGGCAACAAATGCGAGTTCCCCTACCACGAAAACCAAACTTTGTTGAAAGCTGCTTGGATTCACTCAACTGGGTGTTTGTTAGCTGGAAAATATGCTACAATGTGGCTAACTTATTGGGGGGAATTTACATAAATTTAAGGAAAATGAAGTAAGGTTGCCTATTAAAAAAAATCATCCTTTAATTTAATCAATTTCAAGTAAGTTTGCTTAATAAGGAAAATCATGTTTTAATTGAATCAATTTCCCTTGGCAAACTTAGTTTATTTTGTGTAATGAAAGCACGGCTCCCGCACTGATTGCAGCTTTATGTTCAATATCAATTGAACGTATACTTGATATTTATAGAATTCATAAACCCTTCCATATTGCTCATACGCAGTGTGGGCAGTCAACGAACTCGGGGCAATGCAAGGTCATCTGGTGTGGGCTCCCTGGCGCTACTGCATTAGATTATCAACTGCAATTCCCTTTTGCAAACAACAACGAAATAATTAAGAGCAAGAAGGGCAGTGGAGAAGTGGGTGGCTTCTATTCCTTCGGTGTCAATGTCCCTGGTCGAGGTCAACACGAGCAGAACGTGTTCTTTTCCTGCGGCCAGGGATCAGCTATCCCTGGCTTGACCCTTTGAAATTAATTTTCCATCTTTCTGTGTCCACTGTGCCGGGGAATCATGTTTCGCCAGAATACGATTTCAATGCAGGTTTTAATTGCAATGCCTGGGGCTAAATCAAGCTGGTCCGTGCATCCTGGAAAAGGTCCTTGCCCTGTGTACCAAGTCAATGGATTGTTAATAATGCTCAACAGAAGCAGAGCAAAATGCAAACAACTTTCCACTTGAATAATTCAATTAAGCTTAGCATACTCTCGGGCTAACCGGAAAAACTCAAGGGAAAAGCGTAGAGCTCAGCAGGGCTTGGATTTTCACTCGAAAACAACATCAACAGGTATGCACGAGGTTGTGGGAATTCGCTGAGAGCCGGTGCATGTGTGCCATGAGAGCAGCTGCCACAAAATGCATCCACTTAGTGTCACTCGGCGGACGGGCTTGAATGAATATTCAATGGAATGGGAGATGTAGGAAGCAGAAGTTTAGCCCACCTTTGTCTGCGAATCTCCGCATCTACGAATCTGCGAGTCTCCCAAGGCTGTTGCCAAATTATCGCTTGACTGGCCAAAGGCAACGATGTCATCGTCGGTGTAACCATAATTATGACATGGTTTATGATCAGGCGGCATAATTTATTCCCAACCGAACTGAGACGAATTAAACTTGTCTTGGGCAAATTGAGTTGTGCACTTTGTCAAGGTCGAAGAGCCGCCAACAATGGCTTATTGTTATTATTATATTATTATTACGCTGCGCGCTATGAATTATATTTAGCAAGCCCCACCCTTCAAAGTCGCAGTTCCACTGGGCTGTAAACACTGCAATAAATTAGCTAAAATCATAAATCGATTTTCAATTCGCCACGAGGCAAATATTAATACAAGACTTTTCAATTTTCGCATGAATTATGTGTGGCTTTTTTCGGGCCAGGATCAGCCGGACGGCTAAAAAGGTAATTAAGTGGCTCAATTCACTTCTGAGCAGCTCTTGATGTGCTCCCATTTTTCACTTGCGAAACCAGGCAAAAAGCATTTAGCTGAGACATTTGGCCGGGCATTAATAAATAGATATTTCAACGCACTTTTCCCCCATTTTTTTTTACCCCGCTCAACCTGTTGACGGCCGCACGCGTTTGTCGCTTGAGTCTTTCGTTTCTCCGCGATGATAATTGCCAGGGGGCGGGGGGAGTGACCACTTGGCCGGGGCGTTGCAATAAAACAATTTTGTTAGCTATTTTGATTTTTCTTGTTTGTTTTTTTCCTTTGAAAGTTTCAAAACACTTGATGGCTGGCGATATGAATCGAGCGAGTTTCCCAAGCTGCTAAATTAATTTGAAGTGCAATTGAAGTGCCGAATGGGAGTTAAAAATCGTGGGGATAGCGCTGCAGTGAATTAACAGTTCGGCGATGGAAACAGGTGGCTGGATGTGAGATTTTCGTGACGAAGCTGCTGAGTAATTTGATCTCGTATTAATAGAACTTTTGAGATTGAACTTAAAAAGCATTTTATGGAGGGTATTATTAAAAGCTAAATATTTTTGTAGCAAAATTAAGTCTTGCTTAAGCTATATAGTGTACAGATATATAAATATTTGAAAAGAAAATAAATAATACTATTTAAGAAATCAAAGAAGTATTCTGTGTTAAATAAAATAGTTCAAACATTGATGCATTAAAAGAGTACACAAAAATTTCCTTTGCTTTATGCCTTAACTTAAGTATTTAAAATATAATTGTATATATTTTTAAGTAAAGTTATCCATTATTATTTTGGTGATATATATATTTTGTACCTACAAAAAGGTTTTTCTGCGAAAATAAGTACCTTAGTATATGCATTTTTAACTATTATTTAAATTATCTTGTGCCAACTTTGTTTCTTATATTTTTCCCGATTTTAGTATCAATCATTATAGACTGAAATCCTTAAATATTTCAAAACAAATAAAACCCATTATAGTTTAGTGTTTAGAGTCATTTATCGTTTATTTACAGAAAGTGTCAAAGCCACAAGGGCAGGGAATTGCACCTTTATAGCAAAATCAACGAAACTTGATCCTTCCTTCAATCTCTCGCTCTCGCCGCCTCCCGCGTATATGTCCTTAGTTCTCTAGGTGTCTCTGTCTCTAGTTGAGTTCTTGGATTTTTTTTTTTGGGATTTTGAGGATTTTGAAATTTGTACACAATTCAAGGTTTTTTTTTGTTTTTCTGCCTCTGACTACGAAATGCACATGCAAATTCAACACTTTGACGGCAGCAAAATGCGAATTCTCCACTTCAAGGGGTCGTCAACGGGGGCCTAGTTTCCTCAGCATCAGATCCTTAGTGCAGGTATCCGTGTCCACCATAGCCAGCGTATCCCAGACCACCGTAGCCGGCGTATCCCAGACCACCGTATCCGTAGTTGCCATAGCCGCCGTGGTAGGTAGAGGTGGTGTGCAGGGCAGGAGCGGCATGGACCAGAGGGGCGGCATGGACCAGTGGAGCAGCGTGCACGACGGGGATGGCCTTAGTGGCCACCTTGTAGGTGTTGGCATAAGAAGTGGCCACCGGGTGGGCCACAATGGGAGCGGCGTAGCTCTTGATGATGGGGGCGTGCGAGATCACGGCCGGAGCAGCGTAGGCGGGGGCCAGGGCAGCACCGTATCCCAGTCCATAACCATGGCTGTAGGGCGCGATCACTCCAGCATTGGCGACGGCGCACAGGGCAGAGATGAGGGCAATCTGGAGAGCAGAAATCGTATATAGTCCTTTTGGTGGTATCCTTGCGGTTAGCCCGGTCTTACCAGTTTAAACATTTTGCAGGCTTTGTTTTGATGCTTTGACTTCTTGAGTAGTCGAATGTGTTATGCTTAGACGTCTCGACTTGCCCTCGTATTTATACCCGCAACATGAGAAATATTCTGACAAATCTTGGCCCAAAGAGAGGGAGAGCAAATCGCAGAAACACGCCCGAAGCTTTGTGCATTTGCCGACCGGCAAGCAGATCGCGATAGAGATCAGTCGCGATCGGTCACGCGGTGGTTTTCGGCTTAGACCAGAGTCCCCCAGTCCCCAGTCCCAGTGCTTTTCATGGAAAACCTCTATGGGCATTTAATTCAATTTGCTATTTTTTTGTTTCTTATTTTTTGTCAGCTATTGTTGGCTTCCATGCGGCGGCAGTTGCTCTAACGGATTTTTTTTTATATTTCCATTCATGTCGGTGGGGAAATAAACAATTGTTTTCCACCGGTTTCCAGCTGAGAAAATATGCTACTTTTAATTCTGGTTTTGGTTCTGCCAAAGTAATACTTACAAATATTGTTTAGCTGTAAATTGGCAATTAACTATGCAAAATATAGTGTTTTATTCCTGAGAATAACAGACTTATAGGTAGAAAACGTAGGAGATAAAAGGTAGTCAATATCTTAACAATTTCTTAACATTTTGCATCTTACTTGTGAGATTTATTTTTCGAATTTCAAGTATTTATGTATTTATATTCCCTTTAAAATTGTTAAAAATATTAAATTATATTTATAGGTATTACGCATTATATAGAAACATCTTTACCCAAAAATGTTTAAGCAAACAGCATACATGGTATGGTTCCATTCTTCCAATGATACCATTAATATGGTGCCATAATACATTTAAAATTTAATCAATAAAGAAATATTGAAATTTAAAAACTACTCCAATTCGTAGAACGCACAATTTCCTCTAGCCAAATCTTTTAAACCCATTAAACATATCTCTTTTCCCAGTACTAACTGATCTGCAAATCCTTTCTAAAAGCCAAGCACGCACTTGATTATCAATCAGCCTGACCAGCCGACTGGCTGACTGACTGACTGACAGCTCATTACCGATATAAAGATCCGTAGGTGTGGAAAATGCTGTTGCTCGCAGGCAATGATCAATCGAAGCTGCCTCTCCACGCACCAAATAAACCCTGGCTCCGGTCCGTGAAAAATTACTCACTTTAATAACTGACAAACACACTGAGCCTGGAGACTGGCCGGGCTAATAGTGCAGTTGGCCAGTTAGAGTCTTACAGCTGCTTTGACTGTATTTTGCATGCATTAATTTTTAACTGATTTGCTATCGCGCGCGCACACTCGGCGTATGCGTAACTTACGTGGAGAAATCAATTGGAAACAGAGGTAAATCATATTTACTGGCTTTGGAATGGCCTGCCAGATTTCCTAATAGCCATGCTTAATTCCTCTATCATATCACAAGATCTGCCGAGAACACGAGGCGTGAAAAGAATTGCAAAACGCTTGCTACTACACCTTGGGCCTTGGAATCAAAATGTTTTGATCCGAATTTTGGCATCAAGCCGAGGGTTCTGTGTCTCCCAGGGCGAACAAAGCGCGGCTTAAAGTTTATGACGCATAAATCAATAAACAATTACGATGGCGACAATTCTGTGGCTGGCTTTGACCCTGGGCATCGCCGCTGATTGGGGGACAATCTGCATATCAACGCGGCTTAGTCCAAGTCGGAACCCTTCACCAGAGCCAACACCTCGTGATTCGGCCCGGACCCGGGGCGTTATGCAAATGCTGGCCAAATTGTCGCATAAATCTAAATCGAAGGCGGCTTGATTGACACCGGACACAGGATGCCAAATTGCGTGGCTATCGATCGTTGGATCGAGCGACCTGCCCAAAAGCCACAAGACCAAAACTGCCACCCACTCGGTTTGTTGGGTTTTCTGGGCCTGGTTCCAACCGCAGCTGACCGACCGCCTAGCTCTACTAACGGCCTAGTGTAATTGCATTTTAATGGCCTCCCAATTGGGAAATATCCATCCAATTCGCATTTCCCAAGCAACGCCCAAAACTCTTTGATTGCCAACAAATCATTCAAAAGTCGAAATTAAAAGCCGTCAATTTTCCAAAGCTCAAACTCGACTCAATATATATTTTCCCCTCTTGATTTATGTGATTTTTATGGGGAAATAGTCACTGAGTCCCGGGACCTGAAATTTGTCTGCCGAATTCTGGCTAACAAAATTTCACAAGTGAAGTGGGACGGGACTCTGGAATGCCACAGAGGTGATTAGTTCGACTCACTTGAATTTGATTGGGCCAGCATGTGACCGCAAAAAGTTATTATTTAATTTGTTATAGTTTTACATAATTGTTGGTTGGGCGGTTCGCAATTTGCATAGCACAGCACAGCAAACATAGTCTGGCTCCCATCTGTGGCTGTGACTCGAGTGTGGCCAATTAAGTATTAAGTATACCACATGTTGGACGCTACGCTACGCGGTCAAGGTCGTGCTTACCCCAGTACCCCAGCCTTTGTCACAATGTCGTGCATATTACACTGTAGTGAGTAGTACAACAATTATACGTTTTTATAATGATTAATAACAAGAGAGCAACAGCAACGACAATTGCCAAGTGCGAAACTGTAACAATGGCCAGCAAAGAGTCAAGACTTTTGATAAGGTTAAGGAGGAATGGGTACCCTGGGAATATTTCAGGGAATAAATAAAGATGAATTACTATTAATTCAAGCCAATCCTTAATCAACTTTTGGTACAATATCCTTATTATCCTGTAACTAATATACATAAATGTCATATTTAATTTCCAAACTTCATATAAAATTCTCACAGTAATTAAACCGTCTTTAAATAATTTGTATTAAATCATGAGTTCAAACCTACTAATATTCCTAATTATCATATAGTTCCCCTGACATTTTAGAATCTAGCTGAAGACCAATTATATAGTGCTACTGCTAATTAAGCAACATTCTTTCATGGAAGATTTTTGCAAGCCATATATTTTTTTAATGAGTTACAAATAACATTCCGTGATTATTTTCATAGGGTACCAATCAATGCTTGGATTTTCCACAGAGACACAGACACACCGCTGTGAAAAGCCATGGAACACACACTCGCCGACAGAGAGCCAAGTTTTCATTAATGGAATTAAAGTGAGCTAAGGTGGATTAGCCCCATCCAGCCCCCTTTTTCCTCCCTACAACTGGCTGCTTTACCTTCGGCTCAGCTCGAGGTTGGGCCAACAATTATCATTTGCAAAAGTTGGTTTCATTTCGCTTTGAAGTTCTTTTTGTGCGGGGACATTGCGCAATGTGGCTCATGGCACGTAGAGCGTTTCTGTTTTTGTTTAATAACAATTTTTGTTGCTGCATATACATACATATAAACTATTTTGGTCACAGATCATTTGACAGCTTCACTGAGTGTGCTCGCGCGCTCTCGGGCACTTGGAGCTGTCAATGCAAATAGACTGAAATCTGCTTCATAATTAAGTAGTTAGATCGCAGCTCAGTTGCAACAATAACAAACTGAAAACCACCAAAAAATATACATATATACAGCAGCATGTTGAACAAGTCACGCCCCTTTTCGAGCTCGTAAATTAAAGTTGTGTGTCGCCAAATTGTATGCAAATCGCTTGACTCCCAGTTGCTGAGATTTATGCGAGGGGCTGTCCGAATTATTTGTTACTCGATTAGTGCTTTTTAATTGAATTTAGTTCTCGTGTGGGTGCCCGTGTTAATACCCTAAGTATATTATTTCTGGCGAATTCCATAAGGTTCTAATGCATCTAATTTGACTTTCACTTTTTGCCACCGCTTATTGTTGCCGCCGCGATTGTTCTAGAGCAATTCGGTGACTTGTGTGGTTACTCACCCTGAACTTGAGCTGAAATCAAATTACTGGGCGAGATCCCAGGCATGATTGCACACACCTGTGGGGGCAGTATCTATATCTAAATCAGAGGTGGCAAGAAATTAAGTCACGAGCACTTAAAAAGCTAAAGTTGAGGTGGTTCAGATTGAACCATATCTATCTAAATCATATAATTATCTTTTGAGTGTCTGTGGGAGTTATTTCTGCTTAAGATTAGGCAGTTAATCTTTACTATATTTTTATGATCTATAAAATCCCAACACAAACATCATTTTGCCATCCCTAAGTCTCGCTCTATGAACTGCTAACCCTGCTCAAGTTCGCTCTGCTTCGGTTTTCTCACAAACAAAAGCAGAAATAAGCTGAGAACAGCGATAACTATAAAAAGTCAATTAGACTTAATGATAGCCGCAGCTAAACATTAAATTCATGTACGTAAATTACATAAAACAAAAATGAAAAAAGCTACAAGAAACCAGAAACCAGAAACTCCAAAACGAATTCGATTTGAGAATAACAACGCCGATCAACTCCGCTGGGAGTTGTTCTGTGCAATCAAGGAAGTCGTTTCCGAGCTGCAACCGACAAAAAACTGTTGCCTGTGCGTCGGGTTTTGTATAATTCAGTCATTAAAATTAATAAGACAATGCAGATCACACGCCCCACAAAAAACACTCGGCACAAGAACTGGCCAAACGAGGCATTTCCCAAACGTTTAGGCCTGCAGGCGGATGTGGCTATTACAGATCTAATTACATGGCGTATGAGCGATTTTCAATGCTGTTTTCGGCCAGGCCAAGTCGCACCGATAACGCTCAGATAAGGCCAGCTTAAAGTGTTGCTACTTGGCAACAACAACACAAGCACTCTGGTTACTGGAAGCTAATTAAGTTGCATGTTCCATGCTGACAACCTCAGAGATACAGCTACAAATGCAGACTCGAGTTGGGTTTGAGCCAGTCCCAGTTGACAACGTCAGCTTCTATTAGCCAAACTATTTAAAAACTCTTGTCCATTTGTCAATATTTTGCTAGCCAAGAGATTGTTTATGGAATTGTGTGCTGGAAATCCAGGCTTAACTTATCCGTGAACACATGCATTTCCTTATAGAATTTAGCTAAAAGTTTAATCCGTTTTAAAGTCTTTAAATAAATTAATTGAAATATTTGCTGGC